CACCATCTCTTTAGTAAAATATTTCAGATATTGGTTCACCTTTCTGTTAATCTTCGTTATAATTAGCTCTTTCGACTACTAATTAATAATTTGCACGTCAAAGGTACGACACGTAAAGAGCATACTTTTTGCAGTTTATCAATACTTTTTGGAGTATATATTAAGTACTTGGCCATAGGAAAATCAGGTGTCCTATTTATGTCACCTGAATTTCAAGTTTAAACTTTTAAATAAAGTTACAGAATATTTTTTCGAATAAGGGACGCTTCTCTTTCAATTACTTGAAAATAAAAAGTTTGAAGAATGTAATTAAAAATACTAATATCATCAGTTGATATATTTAAAGGACTTTATACTATTGTGTTTGATAGTCAGCACTAAAACAAGTGTCGGTAAATGTCAGAGTTTCGAGGTTAGTGGAATATAGCAGGACGTTTAATTAGATATCACCTAAGATCATGTTACTTCCTTTTGCTCGATTAATGAATCTTTGAGCTAACCCCTCCACTCGCTGTATTCAAGTTTAAGTGTTTAACCTTAAAGCTGGAAACCCTCTGGGTCATCTAGAGTCGCATTTACTTAAAATCTTTAACGATCACCACTCATCATCTTTCACATATAGATTTAAAATGCTATTCGGCAAAAGGTTGTCGAAAAAAATCTGGTTAATCAATAGGATCATGAAATAGTCCAAAAAAATACTTCATCCATTAGATGAATTTTCTAATAATTTTTTGATGTTTCATAAAGAAAAAAGTTCTAACTTTTTGATGATTTTTTTCAGATTTCAAAATATATTTTGTTAGAATTTTATTGGTTTAAAATTATAAAATATTATTTTATTACAAAAATCTATACAATAATGATTGAAAATCAACTTTTTATTAATCTGTGTGAAAAAAATTAGAAAATTTATCTTCAAGAAACAAAGGAATATCAAATAGTAAAATGTTACTTTGAAAACATCAAAATGATATATCATTCATTGTTAGAAGAGAAATTAGCACATTTCCCTAAGTTTGTCACCATTAGTAAAATTACAAGCCCAATTCGATTTTGGTCATAACCTTCTCAACAAAATGGCAAGACTTGAGGAGAAAGGCACAAACTATGAGAAAATGTAAATAAGTTCTCATGCCGACTTGAAGAATAGAAGGAATTCAAGGACAAGAGGAAGTTTTCCATATCACTAAAGAGGAAGTTTTCCATCTCGTCAAAAGAGAAATATTCACCAAGGAGCCGCCCTACCAACACTATATATTGAAGACCCCCATTCGTGGAAAGGCATCGAGAAATACCTTGAAGCACCCGCAAATCTAGGCATTAGCATTCTCTTTATTTTCCTTTTTGTTTTCCTCTTGTTTATCATCGCTCATCTCGTCAAATCTCGTTAAACCTGTTGACGAGATCGCTTCCTTTGTAATTTCTTTGATGTTTTTCAAATTAATTAAATACCCAGTTTCCTAAACTCATATCTTTGATATTTCATCTTCACGAGTACTATCTCAGATCCAACATTCATACCTTTTAATTCTTCTTTTATTTTTAACTGAAGAAATCTTTATCCTTTAGTCAACAACAACAGATAAGGATTCATATGTGCAAATTAACTCTACATCAAGCAGAATCCTGTTAATTTATTTTTTTGGTGAATCGACTCACATCTAATATATTTTTTAACATGTTCATATTTCGTATTCTATTGCTTAATACTATCTTTAAAGTCATGTACTCATCTTTATTTCTTCAACATAAGCAATAATAAAAGAAAAGCAACTGAAGCTTATCATCATTAAAGCTTAAACAGAAATATAAAGTCCCTTGAGCAAATGATTAGTGTTTAGGATTTGGTTTAGCATAAAGCTACATAATCTACAAGTGTTTTCGGAAAAGTTGTTATGACAACTCGAGTAATATATCATCGCCTCTCCTTCTTTTGTAATGTTTATCTTTATTCATCGGACACCTAAACGAATAAAGTTTGTGATTTAACTAGGGCATATCAAAAATAGGAAAGCAAAACCGAAAAATAGAAAGCAATCAAATTTTTTGTACAATGACTTCGTAGCGAAAAAGAAAACAATCAACGGTTTGGAGCACATTATGATTCAACGAAGACTATCTTTTTCTAATAAGAAAGAGTAGACACAATCTTACCCAAAATCGTTACCATCGAACCAGCAAGTGCCACGTTCAAAAGAGCACCTATAATAATCACACACAAACACAAATAAAATTCCATTTTTATTTTTATCTAAAAATGTATTTAAAATGTTGCGGAAAGTCCTTAACAAAGAAAATCACTATTTAATTTAAACATATAAGCTCAGTGGGAGACACTGAAATTTCTGGGAGAGCATTAAATTTTTTACGAACTTTAACCATGATTAATGACACTGGATGGTGTATATATAGTACTATAATATCATTGTACATATGATCACTTTTAGTCCATTTTGGATGAAGAATATAACATCACGCAGTGCCTCCTATGTTTATTTCCCTTAGAAAATAAATAAAATACTTCGTTGAATCAGATTCAAAGAGGAGATTTAGCTTTTGGGGCAACATCTCTCTCCATCCAAAATAAGGACTTGGTAATTATTTTTTATTTTTTATTTTTGTGAAAACTGAAAAGAATGAGATACACATGGTAAAGGGATAATATTTCTTTTTCATTAATAAGAATAATTTCAACCTATGTTCCAACATAGGGTAGTAACACATGTAACTAGAGGAGTAATTAATATTCTAAATAAATAAGACTAGTGAGAAATTACTTATACTAAATTAACCCGTTGTATCATTTTTTTGAAATTTCTCTCATCCATAACGCAAGGCAACATACGGAACATCTTTTTGAAGAGCTCGGAAGACATATGACATCAATAGTTTATCTCGTTGCAAATGATGTAAATTAGTATATATATATCGTAGATTGCTAACACTCAAATGGAGTTTCCTTGTTCTCCTATTTCACAATCAAAGACAAAAATATAAGATAATTTTTTTATTTTGCCTTGTCTATATATAAATTTAGTATCAAGATATACATATATATAATCACAGGTACGTTATATGAATCTTGATCATTGTTCTCCTATTTCAATTGCTTTAACATGTGTGGTCGTGTCGTAATATCCTTTTGCCTCCCATCAATTTCAAACATTATCCGGTTCTTTTCCACATGATATCTAATATTCCTAATATAGTGTCACCAGATTGTAGTTTACATTGCAAAATTATTTTCGGACCAACTGTTGAGCTGAAGATCGATTGAAATTAAGGAAGTTTTAAGGTTTGAGAGCCTTTTTTATTTCTTACATGTTAGGGCATCTCCAACAAGCCCTCAAATTTTGAGGGGAGTAAAACCTAATTTTAAGGATTTGAGGGTAGTTTATTCCAACAATGAATCTTAAAAAAATCTTTAAAAATTAATTAATTTGCAATGTAGTCCTCAATATTAACAAAAATTACTAAAAAATTATTAAAAATGATAAAAATTTATAAATAAATTTAAATCATACACTTAATATATTATATAACATATATAATTATTTATTATTTTATTATATAATACATCATATTATAAAATAATAGTTAAATGATAATATAAATTACATATATATAATAATTAAACAAACATAAACACAAATTTTTTTGTGTAAATTTGTTTGATATATTTTCTTTTAAGTGAAATTTTTTTTAAACATATCATTTCCTCTTTTTTCTTTGAATGTGCTTTCTTTTTTCAAAATTAAAGTTTAGTATATTTATTTGTCAAAAATCATAATTATAGGGACCAAATAGAAAGAGAAAAATAGTTTTGAGGATTTGAGAGTTTGTTGGAATGCTAAAAACCTCAAAATTTGAGGATTTGAAGGCTTGTTGGAGATGCCTTTACATAATTAAAATTGTAAAAACGCAAGCAAGTATAAGAGTTGATATTCCAGTGTGGATCAAATAGATCAACAAACAAGTTCCAAACAGTATCGAGACTTAGTTTGTCTCCCGTTATAGTTCCTCTGTATTCTCTTCTTAATCTTATTTTTCAGCTCAAACTCAAAAAAAAAATTATTTTTACAACGTTTTTCTGGTTAAATAATTTACATTCAATTTTTTTTTTAAATATCTAATATTATACAGCTGTATTGGTTAGACTGATCTTTGAATAGAATCTCTAGAATAAATGTGTCGCAATGAGGTATATAACTTTGTTCTGTAATGTTCTTAGCTTTCTGTTTTGGTGTCAAATCCAACCACTTTAATGTTCATTTCTTCTTTTTTTGAGCTACGTTTCTTCATTTAATTCAGCGAATCACATAAATAAATATTTCAGCGTCAATTTTTTTTAAATGCTACTAATTATCTTGGTGCATTTGTGTCCATGTTCAGATTAGAAATGATCTATGTATTGTATGATGAATAAAATGGAAACAAAAGAGGTATTGTATGATACTAATAATATATGGACCAGAAACAAAGAAAATGCTTTGCTTTTGTCACTTTCAAAAAAGACTTTTTATTTTCATCCATGCTATATTGCTATGACGTCATAAACATGCTACGTGTTCAAGAAAATATGATTTTGTCTCTTGCTCTTTGCCAATTGCATTACCGCATCAATATGTAGTCTTAAAGTGCATATAAGCAATCGTTGAGTGAAAATCATACGGACGATAATAAATATTTTAGTAACAAATTGATCTACAAGACAAAGTAGTTGGCCACAACCATTAGTTAAAGAGTGTCTGAAATTTGAGAAATAATTATGTTTTTTTTTTAGGTTTTAGAAATAATTATGTTGACATAACTTTTTTTTTAAAAAGTGGAAATTAATTAATTAATCTCGCCATAAATATAGTATATACTCTCTCCAGCTTAATTTCCCCTCCATAATAGTCCCCACTTCTTTCCTTTATATACACATCGTATTACATGTGAACTTCTCAACTCTACACACCAAATCAGCAAATCTCTCTCTGTCTCTCTCTCTCTAGATGATGCCTCCTAATGAGGAAGAATCTAGCTTTCCGAGAACACCGGGCGCAAATCGAAACGAAACCAGTCCGGTTCAAGAAACCCGGTTTACCTCTCTAAGTCATGTAATCCCATGCCTTGACGACGACCACGTCGGTCCGAGTCACCAATCAAGACAATCTTCGGTTTTACGCCAATCTTTACGTCCCATAATCCTCAAGGTCGTTAAATTTCTATAGTCCACTTATTTTCTTTCAGTTACGTACCAAAAAAGTTTCTCATTATTTATTTGATTTGTGTATGTAATGCAGTTTGAAGAGTTAACGTACAGTATTAAATCACAAACCGGGAAGGGAAGTTATTTGTTCGGTTCACAAGAACCAAAACCGAACCGGTTAGTATTGAACGGTGTAAGCGGTATAGTTAAACCAGGGGAGCTACTAGCAATGCTTGGTCCATCAGGGAGCGGCAAAACGACGCTAGTAACGGCGCTAGCCGGACGTTTAAACGGGAAGCTGACAGGAACCGTTAGTTATAACGGAGAACCGTTTACAAGCTCCGTTAAACGGAAAACGGGGTTCGTTACACAAGACGACGTTCTCTACCCACATTTAACGGTGATGGAGACGCTAACGTACACGGCTTTGCTCCGTTTACCTAAAGAATTGACCCGGAAAGAGAAAATCGAGCAGGCGGAGACGGTGGTTTCGGATCTCGGGTTGACCCGGTGTTGTAGCAGCGTGATCGGAGGCGGATTGATCCGAGGAATTTCGGGCGGGGAAAGAAAACGGGTCAGTATCGGACAAGAAATGCTCGTGAATCCGAGTTTGTTGCTTCTCGATGAGCCAACGTCCGGGCTTGATTCGACTACGGCGGCGCGTATAGTCGCCACGTTGAGAACGTTGGCGCGCGGTGGTCGGACGGTGGTGACGACGATTCATCAGCCGTCCAGTCGGCTTTATCGGATGTTCGATAAGGTTTTGGTTTTATCGGAAGGAAGTCCGATTTATAGTGGAGATTCGGGTCGGGTCATGGAGTATTTCGGTTCGATTGGGTTTCAACCCGGTTCAAGTTTCGTTAACCCGGCTGATTTCGTTCTTGATCTTGCTAACGGTAGGTACCGAATTTATTCGGTTTTTTTTTTTTTTTTTTTAAACAACGAAAAAAGCAAATTTGGGTGTAAAGTTAAAAACTTTTTTATTTTTTGGTCATGCATCATGAGATATGTGACAACGACAATTTTAATCCATTTCTTTGCATATTTATTACAAGCTTTGTACTTTTCTTTTAATTAATATCTATCTTAAAAAAGAACAAAAAGACTGTTCATAGTGGGATAAATCATGTGTTTGTTTATATGTTGATTTTGACTATAAAATTTAATAGATATTTGGGTAAATTTTGCAGGAATAGTATCCGATACAAAGCAATACGATCAAGTCGAAGTAAATGGAAAATTAGATAAGCTGGAAGAACAAAACTCTGTAAAACAGTCCTTAATTTCGTCCTACAAAAATAATTTGTATCCACCATTGAAAGAAGAAGTTTCTAGAACATTTCCACAAGATCAACCGGTGATCACTAGGTCGAGAGCAAAGCCATCAACAAGTAAGTAAGTCTCATCAAGCCACATTAACATTAGATACTAACACTTGATTACTTATCTTTGTGTTGATTTTAATTATTGTAACGTCGTGTTTTGAATTTTTTTGTGAAGATCGATGGCCAACGAGTTGGTGGATGCAATTCTCGGTTCTACTGAAACGAGGTTTAAAGGAGAGAAGTCACGAATCATTTTCAGGACTTAGAATATTTATGGTCATGTCGGTTTCCTTACTTTCAGGCCTCTTATGGTGGCATTCTCGCGTTTCTCATTTACAAGATCAGGTAACAATACCAAATCATGATATTAAAACTCTGGTTACGTAAACAAAAGTACATATACTGAAAACCATAAATCTCCTTTTGAAATTATAATAAAAACTCTAATCCCATTCATATGTTATTCTTGTTCATTATAATAGGTGGGTCTATTGTTCTTCTTCTCGATATTCTGGGGATTTTTTCCTCTCTTCAACGCCATTTTCACATTCCCTCAAGAACGACCAATGCTCATAAAAGAGCGATCCTCGGGAATTTACAGGCTATCCTCTTACTACATAGCAAGAACGGTCGGCGATTTACCAATGGAACTCATTCTTCCAACGATCTTTGTCACAATCACATATTGGATGGGAGGTCTCAAACCATCTATAACCACATTTCTGATGACCCTTATGATCGTTCTCTATAATGTCCTAGTGGCTCAAGGCGTAGGGTTAGCTCTAGGAGCAATCTTGATGGATGCAAAGAAAGCTGCGACATTATCTTCGGTGATAATGCTAGTGTTCTTACTAGCCGGAGGATACTACATTCAACATATACCCAATTTCATCGCGTGGTTGAAGTATGTTTCGTTTAGCCATTATTGCTATAAGCTTCTTGTTGGGGTTCAATACACATGGGATGAGGTTTATGAATGTGGATTAGGGTTGCACTGTAGTGTTATGGATTATGAAGGGATTAGGAATTTGAGGATTGGGAATATGATGTGGGATGTTTTGGCTCTTGCCCTTATGTTGTTTCTTTATAGGGTTCTTGCTTATTTAGCTCTAAGGAACTTGTGACACTTTTTATTTTTATTTTTGCTTTTCCACTATGCATGAGGGAACCAAGTGTAAAATATTTGTAAACTTATTATTATGATTCATTTGTCTTAATTACTTTCTTTTATACTTCCTCCGTTTCTTTTTACTTGTTGTTCTAGAGTTTTTCACGCAGATTGAAAAGACAATTAAAACTATTGTTTTAACCCTCATTAATACTTTGATTTCTTTAATAGGAATAACTAGTGAGTTAAAAGAATAGGGATAATAGTGAAAAAAATGTAAAAATCTGCATTAGAAATACAAAATGACAAATAGTATGAAACAAAAATTCTAACTCTATAACGACAATGGAGGGAGTATATATATAGATCAGCAAGGAACATTAGTTATAATTTCTTGTCTACAATCGTTGTAATTTCTTAACCCCAAATAAGAACTGAGCGGCAGCCTTATTTTCTTATTGGGCTAATGTATTATCATCATGATTTATTCTATGGATCCGACAGGGCCGTTATCCTCATGTATCCTCTATCTTTGGTCCTCTGCTACATTAATGTCTGAACTAAAACAACATAAATCTCATAAGAATTCATGTACTAACGTAAGATGTGTACGTACGTGGCCCTTGAATTTTTCGTCATTAATGGTTGTCAGGTGATCTGAACTTTTGGTTTGTTTAAGATATCTACTAGAAGCTATGGAAAGACTTAAAAATAATCGTGATATTAATGGCAATTATGAATCCATGACGTCATGGATGATTATAAAGTCACGTGTTAAGAAAGTCAAGAATACTTCCAAAGTCAACAATAATCTTATTCCTTTTGCTAAGAGTTAATTTATAAATTTAAAAGACGGCCGTCGAAAAAAAAAATTTAGATGACGAAACAATCTTTAAAATAATCCTTTTGTTTTACAAATATATTATTTGAAATGTCTTTTTGTGCTAAGCAGAATTTTAAATAAAAATCTAATTTTGATGCCAATATTAACATAAATACTTTTTATAAACAGAAAAATAACAAATAATCACATGATTGATGAGATAAATCAAAAAGTAATGACTAACCGGTTGACAAGTCCAATTGCAAGATCTAGCTTGATTTCGAATGGCGGGAGAAAAAGTAGTGACGTGGTGCAGTTTTGTTTAGTTTATTATATACGTCAATTAAGAAATAACCGATATGGTGGTATATATATAGGAATATTATAAATTTGTTGAACCCCTTCACCATATCACTATTGTGTAAACGTTACAATTGGGTCAGTGAGGTTTTCATCATCCAAGAAACCTAATCTTCGTTTTAATAATGCTAATACTAGTTAATAAAAATTTAAAAAGTTACAACCACCGTTATTTTGTAGTCAAAGCAATAATGTGTTTATATTATATTATACTCATATAGTTAAATACATACAAAATGGAATTGTCGCGCAGCCAGACATTATGATGATAATACAAGTAGGTGTTGGCATGCATGTATGTATTAGAAATTAGCACATGAACAACGTTTAGTTTTCCTCTGAATTCACACTTTTGGTAATCTTGGATTAACACTACAATTGCAATTAGCATTAGCAGCGAACGTATCAGTCTGAAATGACCATGATATAAATATACTGAATTGTGATAGTGTAGCAGTCTTGCTATCCGAATTTCAATTCAAACTCGTAATACATATTTTAACTACAAAATAGTTAATGAAATACTAGTTTAAATATAGATTCATCCTTTAATTTACTAATTGCTTTTTAAAAAAAGTTTTTGCTAGCAATCGAATATTTATGAACATCTATCTGTTACTTCTTAGTATATCACTGTTTATCCAATTCCATTGTATATTGTGAAGCGTGCTGAAATCTACCAGCCATGCATATATTAAAGTAAATACATATTTTGCATATCTTCTAAGAATACAAGAATTATTATTATTTTATTTTTTTAAACAAGAGTTCCAAGAATTATATGATCATATACAATGAGATATGGACCATATGGTAAGGCAAGTTACAAAACAAAAAAGGGATATTTGTCTTGGTGGTACACCACCGTGCACTACGAGTTACAACTTACAACCATCTTCATCTATTCAAAAGCATAATCCGTGAGCCAAAACCCTAAATATTAAATTCATTTCCAAGAAGCTTCCATGTCAAGAGAAAGAAAAATAGTAAAATAGAAAATCATCAAATCAATAAATTGCTACCCTCCACGCCTCTTCCAGCTCTTGTTTTCGTTTTGTCCATTTCTTTATTTAAAAAAAAAAATCTCGAACCAGAACAAAAAGAGAAAAACTAACTCAACAGCCATGACATAATTAAATACCTTTATTGTTTTTACTATTTATAAATGCTAATCGCTACAGTCAGTGTGTTAAAACGCTACCATGATACATTTCACTTCTAAAAAGTTGGATCTATTTAAGTAGTTCTAGAAAGTTAGGTGTTGGCATAAACCATGAAGTTTTAGTTTTTATTTCACCACTGATACGCTCGCTGCTTTCTTTCAGTATGAAGTTTCTCAATCTTTTTTAGCCAGTCATAAACAAAATAGACCCTAGTCTGAGAAATAAGTTACCATATAGATAAAACCCAATTACATTAGCAGTTACACTTTTCTAGAAGCAGTCTCATTTCTAGAAGACATTTGGAAAATTCATCAATCAGTTAAGGTACCAGGCAAATAAGATACCCGCGTACAATTTTTTTTGATACATTTCGAAGCAAAATGAAATATATCTATCAAATAAAAAGCAAGTAAATAAAATAAACTCGGAAAAGTCAAGGAACGAGCCAAAAGTGTTACGTTCAAAGTCACCGTTCAAAGTTGGGTCTCTTTTATAGAAAAATACTCTTAGCTTCACACATTTTATTAAAGCTCAGCTAACATAACTCGTCTTCCATTTTTTTCCTTATTATCATATTTAAAGATTCAACATCTCTACATTCTTTAATTCTTTTCTTCCCTCAAATATAAAAAAACCAAAAAATCTCCAAGAAACCAAGTGTGTTCTCCAAGTATATCACTTGGCTTTCTTGTGAGATTCAAATTCATTATAAACAAACCCATTTTTTCCAATTTATAAAATTTTCAGACAAAGAAAACAAAGCTATAGCTATGGCAGGTGGTCGGAGAAGAAGAAGGTTACATCTAAGCAAGATCTATTCATACACTTGTGGTAAATCAAGTTTCCAAGAAGACCACTCTAACATAGGAGGACCCGGTTTCTCTCGGGTCGTCTACTGTAACGAACCGGGTTCTCCGGCAGCCGAACGCCGGAACTACGCCGGAAATTACGTCCGTTCAACAAAATACACCGTCGCTTCTTTCTTCCCTAAATCTCTCTTCGAGCAGTTCCGCCGCGTCGCTAATTTCTACTTCCTCGTCACCGGAATCTTGTCGTTGACTGATCTCTCTCCTTACGACCCCGTTAGTGCTCTCTTGCCTCTTGCTTTCGTCATCGCCGCCACAATGGTTAAAGAAGGTATCGAAGATTGGCGCCGGAAACAACAGGTCCGATCTTAACAACTCCAAATCGAATAAAGTCTCGATTTTTATTAATTCTGAATGCAAAACTTTAATAAGTACGGATCTTTATTATCAAACCGTTAAAATTTTTATTTTATTTTTCAGGATATTGAGGTGAATAACAGAAAAGTGAAAGTACACGACGGGAATGGAATATTCCGGCAAGAAGAATGGAGGTATCTGAGAGTAGGTGACATAGTGAGAGTTGAAAAAGACGAGTTTTTTCCGGCGGATCTTTTGCTTCTGTCGTCGAGCTACGAGGATTCGATTTGCTATGTGGAGACGATGAATCTCGACGGAGAGACGAATCTGAAAGTGAAACAGGGGCTTGAGACGACTTCTTCGCTGTTGAATGAAGATTCCGATTTCAAAGATTTCAGAGCCGTTGTTAGATGCGAAGATCCAAATGTGAATCTTTATATGTTCGTTGGGAGTTTGGAGCTCGAAGAAGAGAGATTTCCCTTGTCGATTCAACAGATTCTTCTCCGGGATTCGAAGCTTCGTAACACAGAGTATGTGTACGGTGCTGTTGTTTTCACCGGACATGACACAAAGGTACACAGTTTCTTCAGATCTCACACTGCTCTGTTTTTAGATTTTTAGTTTTAGTTTAAAAATATTTCCACATGAACCAAAAAAATATCTTTCTTTTTTTAATTTACCTGAAAATTTGCAATAAATTTTAATCTAGCTGGAAAAATTTCCGGAATGGCGTATTTATTTTGATAAATCTTTTTTTTTATAAAAACAAATACTCATTTGGAATCTAAAAATCATTCCCCATTTATTACGTGACTTACCAAAGAATTATTCATTCTATTTGCGCATATTTTTTCCATTTTCCACTATTCAACAATGTTAACCAAAAATCAGTATTTACAAAAAGTCTAAAAAAAATAATATATTTTAGATAAAAAATTTTATAAATTTTTCGAAATTTGAGAAATACTACTCTTCATGTTTTGATTTTTTTTTTTTTTTTTAAACAGGTGATGCAGAATTCAACAGAACCTCCATCAAAGAGAAGCAGAATCGAGAGGAAAATGGACAAGATCATCTACTTAATGTTCGGTCTCATCTTTCTAATGTCATTCGTCGGATCAATCATCTTCGGAGTCGAAACAAGACAAGACAAACTCACAAACGGAAGAACAGAGAGATGGTACTTAAAACCAGACGATTCAGTGATCTTCTTCGATCCAGAAAGAGCTCCGATGGCTGCAATCTACCACTTCTTCACCGCCATGATGCTCTACGGTTACTTCATCCCGATATCGCTCTACGTTTCCATCGAGATCGTCAAGATTCTCCAGAGCGTTTTCATCAACAGAGACATTCACATGTATTACGAAGAAACGGATAAACCGGCTCAGGCACGGACTTCGGATTTGAACGAAGAGCTCGGTATGGTCGACACGATCCTATCCGACAAGACAGGGACTTTAACGTGCAATTCGATGGAGTTTATCAAGTGTTCCATCGCCGGTACGGCTTATGGACGAGGTATAACCGAGGTTGAGAGAGCTATGGCTGTGAGAAGCGGCGGTTCGCCTTTGGTTAACGAGGATTTGGATGTTGTTGTGGACCGGTTTGCTCCTAAGGTTAAAGGGTTTAACTTTGTGGATGAAAGGGTTGTGAATGGGAATTGGGTTAGGCAGCCTGAAGCTGCCGTGTTGCAGAAGTTTTTCAGATTGCTTGCCGTGTGTCACACGGCGATACCTGAAACTGATGAAGAGACTGGGAATGTCTCTTATGAAGCCGAGTCTCCTGATGAAGCTGCGTTTGTCGTTGCGGCACGAGAGTTAGGGTTCGAGTTCTTTAACCGGACGCAGAACGGGATCTTCTTTCGTGAATTGGATCTTGTAACCGGGAAAAAAGTCGAAAGGTTAGGTTTTTTTTAGTAGTTCTTCTTTTGAATTTGAGGTTAGTTTTTGTGACTCTATGAGCTCAAATCTTTCTCTGTTCTTGCAGGCTTTATAGGTTACTAAACGTTCTTGAGTTCAATAGCTCGAGGAAGAGAATGTCAGTGATTGTAAGAGACGATGATGGGAAGCTCTTGCTCTTGTCTAAAGGAGCTGACAAGTAAGCGAAATGAGTCATTAAAAACACATTTTAATTGTGTTTAAAGATACTAACTTGAGTCATTAAACACACATTTTTATTGAGTTTAAGATATTAACTTTGTGTTTTGTTTGTGTGTGCTCGTTTTAGTGTAATGTTTGAGAGACTTGCAAAGAACGGTCGTCAATTCGAGGCGAAGACGCAAGAACATGTAAACCAATATGCAGACGCAGGTCTAAGGACTTTGATACTTGCGTACCGTGAGGTTGATGAGAATGAGTACATAGAGTTCAACAAGAGTTTCAATGAAGCTAAGAGTTCCGTTAGCGAGGATCGTGAAGCTTTGATAGACGAACTCACGGATAAGATGGAACGTGATCTTATTCTCCTTGGTGCTACTGCTGTTGAAGACAAACTTCAGAATGGGGTAATGACTTTAACTAAGGGCTGTTTAAGCTTCAAGATTTTCTTGAAATTTTAGGGTTTTTTTAACTAAAATGTTTTTGGATTGATGGATGTTTAGGTTCCGGAATGTATTGACAAGCTTGCTCAGGCTGGAATTAAGATTTGGGTTCTGACTGGAGACAAAATGGAGACAGCAATCAATATTGGGTATTGAAATCTTGAATCTTGAATGTTCTTGTTCTTGTGCGTGTGTTTCTTAGTTACTGAATTTAGAATCTTCTTCTCAATGCAGATTTGCTTCTAGTTTACTTAGACAAGAGATGAAACAGATCATCATCAATCTTGAGACAACACATATCAAATCCCTGGAGAAATCTGGAATCAAAGACGAGATCGAACTGGCATCGAGGGAAAGCGTTGTGAAGCAGATAGAAGAAGGAAAGGCCTTACTTGCTGCATCAGGCGCTAGCTCTGAAGCGTTTGCTTTGATCATAGACGGGAAATCGCTAACTTACGCACTCGAGGACGAAATAAAGAAAACGTTTCTTGATCTTGCAACCGGTTGTGCCTCTGTGATTTGCTGCAGATCATCACCTAAACAAAAAGCATTGGTACAATCTTCAGATCTTGATGACATCTCTCACGCTCTTTTTTTGGTTTCTTGAATCTAACAAAAGATGTTTATTTTTGGGGGTTTTCTAGGTTACGAGACTGGTTAAGTCAGGAACTGGAAAAACAACCTTAGCGATTGGCGATGGAGCGAATGATGTAGGAATGCTTCAAGAAGCTGACATTGGTATAGGAATAAGCGGCGTCGAAGGAATGCAAGCAGTCATGTCTAGCGATATCTCCATTGCTCAATTCCGATATCTAGAGCGCTTGTTGCTAGTCCATGGTCATTGGTGTTACAGCAGAATCTCATCCATGGTAAATAATAAGATTCAAACTCTTCCCTCAAAAGCCTCTCTAATTTCATCAATCTTTCTCTTACCGGATTTCTTTATAACTTTTGCAGATATGTTACTTCTTCTACAAGAATATCACTTTCGGTGTCACTGTGTTCTTATATGAAGCTTACACTTCCTTCTCTGCACAGCCTGCATACAACGACTGGTTCCTGTCTTCTTTCAACGTCTTTTTCTCTTCTTTCCCCGTCATTGCCCTCGGAGTCTTTGACCAAGACGTCTCAGCTCGCTTCTGTTACAAGGTAGGTTTTAGGTTTAGGGTTCATCTTCTTACAGTGTAGAATTCGTTAGAGTTACTTACCGTTTTTTTTACTGTCTTGCAGTTTCCGTTGCTATACCAAGAAGGTGTGCAAAACATTCTCTTCAGCTGGAAAAGGATCATAGGATGGATGTTCAACGGATTCATAAGCGCACTCGCCATTTTCTTCATCTGCAAGGAATCTCTAAGTCACCAGCTATTCGACCCAAACGGCAAAACCGCAGGCCATGAAATCCTCGGAGGATTGATGTACACTTGCGTCGTGTGGGTCGTCAATCTCCAAATGGCTTTTTCAATAAGTTACTTCACTTGGGTCCAACACATTGTGATTTGGGGATCAGTCGCTTTATGGTACATCTTCCTCATGATCTATGGAGCTATGGCGCCAAGTTTCTCAACCGATGCTTACATGGTCTTCATCGAAGCCCTAGCTCCTGCTCCTTCCTACTGGCTCACCACTCTCTTCGTGATGATCTTCGCTTTGATCCCTTACTTCGTCTACAAGTCAGTGCAAATGAGGTTCTTCCCTAAATACCATCAAATGATTCAATGGATTCGGTACGAGGGTCACTCTAATGATCCTGAGTTCGTTGAGATGGTGAGGCAGAGATCGATTAGACCCACCACCGTTGGATACACGGCTAGAAGAGCTGCTAGTGTACGGCGCTCCGGTAGGTTTCACGATCAGATACACAAGGATCTTGTTGATTTTTGAAGAGTATAGAATTGTTTTCATGTAAATAATATTATATACGTATATCTATCTCTAAAGTAGAGATTAGGGTTTCTTTCATCAGATTCGTTGCCATAAAAGGCATCTGTAATTCACTTCCACACACACGGAAGTATATATTTGTACATAATTTTTTCGTGTACATTTTATTTTGTTTAGTGAAATCCATGATTCTTTTGTTTTGTTTATTGTGCTATTTATAATCGATCGATTATTAGTGAAAAAAAATCATTTATTTTACCTTAAATTTAAAGTAGATGGAAGTAAATTCTCACTTGCCTCCACTATGATATCGAGTACAATGTATTTAGACCACTCAAAAGAAAAAAGACAACAAATTTTCGGTTTTTCGACTTCAGAGTCGTTGAGACAAAGACATAAAGAGAAGGATCATGTGAGGTTCTATTAAAGCCATTTTTTTTAACATTGGATTGACTAATCTAATACACAAATATGAGAACTGTTACAAGACAATTCTATAACTGATGATTCTACCATTTTCAAAGGCTCTCCGGTCGACGGCTCCATGTGCACCATTCTGTAGACCTCCTGTAAGCTTGTCTCCAATAATCTGCATAAATTATTAGCAAATCGTATCTGCCGGGATTCGAAACCCAGACCTCTTGGTGTAGAAATATTAAATCCCTTCAACCATGAGGTTAAGGGGCTTCCACAAAACATTAAGAATTTATAATTTTATCCAATTTGTCTTTATGCTTGAAAAATGAAAACACTTACTTATATCAGTAAACTCTCTATTTAATTTTCGTTTTGTCAACGGTTCTAATTATTTTAACTGTTTCGGCCATTATAATTTATTGGTCATCATCGTGCAACACTGGACCATTGCAATTGACTCAGTTAATCCAAAAATGCACTTAAATATTTGTATCTTTAAATCCAATTGCTTCAACACACACCAACCCCTTGAAGTACAAGATTAATGTAATTTAAAAGCTATGATTACTAAACCACTATGTATCTATATGTAACTTCTTACGAGTTTAATGTGAAAATCTGAAAATGTTGTTCCAACCTAAACATTTTCTTACATGCTTATTCTTTTCACATATCGTTTAAAGTCAATCTTGATATTACTAAATATTACTACCAACTAAATTTACGTCACACCAACGGAATCATAACAATTAGAAAAAGAAGGAAGATTAGCGGCGGATTGTTAATTACACAAGTTGCATAATACAAAAAACTTTTCACATAGAAAAATAATTAAATTAATTTTTAAAAACACAAACATAGATTAAGAGATTTAAGCAGCAGCGGTCAACCCAAGAAAATCAGCGGCAGATTTGGCCATGATATGCGCGAACTCGTTGAAACTAATAACGCCGTCACCGTTAGAATCAGCCTCCGTCATCATTTCCGTCAACTCACGGTAGGTCAACGGATGTCCCATTTTAGCCATTGACCCGGCGAGCTCCGCCGCCGTGATCGATCCGTTACCGTCGCGGTCGAACGAGCGGAAGACCTCCATGAGCTGCTCCTGGTTGATGAGAACCTCCTCGTTGATATCCGGCAGAATCGCGACGACGAGCTCGTCGAATTCGACGGATCCGTTGCCGTTGCGGTCGATTTGGTTGAGGAGGAGAGAGATCTGATCGCCGCGAGGTTTGATTCCGAGGGAACGGAGGAGAGCGGCGAGTTCGAGCTGTGTGAGGCTTCCGTCTCCGTCCATGTCGAAGCGAGCGAAGATGTCTTTGAGCTGCTTAATCTGATCGGTGGGTTTCGGAGACGCCATTGACGGAGAACGGAAGAAGGAAGAGGATTTGGGGAAAATTTTTAATCTTAGGGTTTGTTTGAAATTTTGGGGATGAATAGTTCTAAAGTCGAAGAAGCGCGTTTATGGATTGAGACGAAGTTGAAAATTAAAAATATTAATTAATAATAATGGTATTGATTGAATTGTATTCCCGCGTAGTAAATGAATTGTCTTTATTACATTATCCTTCAAATTTCTAGATTTGTTTGAAATTTATTTGTTTCAATTATTGATTGGATATTAAATATGTGGAGACAATACTATTGACGGTGAGATCATTAAATCGGAAATTGGGTAGGAAGCACATCATACAAATACAACTACATTCTTGTTTTATAATTATTTTGTAGTATCAAATATTTAAATGGACCGTTACTACCATTTCTATGATTTCATGTTGTACTAATAGTATATTATAAACATGCTGTTATGTATTTAAATTCGAATTGTACTATTGTCAATGTCTCATCTTTAGATGTTTTTTAGTTGTATGAAAACACTAATAAAAGTAAACACAACTAACCGGAAGTTATAATATCTGTAAACATAACACTAATAAAAGTAAACATATTATAAACATGCTGTTATGTACCTGCTGTAAATCTGTTATAATATCTCTACCCTCTATAAAAATAGGAACTTAGTTTTTTTTCTCTCTTTTATTGCATCGATCGCATTGAATTTAGTAGAGTAAGAACTTGTCAAATATTATTTTTTCTTAAAGCATACTATATATTATTTGTTAATTTTTGGCTGAAATGTATTATAGATTTCTTGATTTGGAAAAAAGCAAAAACCCCAAGCTATTGGACATTTTTATTTCCATTGATTTCGATAAAGTCTATGTGAAGTTGTGAATATATAATCTGAGTAGAAATTTTCTTCGACTATCTCATAACGACTTACAAATCTTAGGTCAAAGTTGTCATGATCACCACAACTTGACATTGACGAAGAATTTTGAAGCCTCTCATTTCCCCAGAAGCTTCCAAACAAAAACTCACCATTCTTTGAAAACTCCTCTAAAGCTTCTTCAACTTCTTCAATACACCCAAAACCTTCCATCTCCATACTGGTGGACCCTTTTGTAGAATCCGAATCCACCCCGGTGTTTTGACGACATTCGCAACCGAGCCCCATTCTTTTTATTCTTCGATTTACCCCCCATTTTGTGTAACATTTTCTTGTGTTCTTGACCAGCTTTTGAGGAAGTCCGAGGAAGATGAAGATAGCAATCTGGAGAACAAGACAGTTGCAACAACACGATACAACAACGCAATCAGCTGCAAATGTGTTAAGATCTTCCATGGAATCTTGAAGGAGAGAGTCGAATAAGAGAAAGAAAGAGAATAGAAGATATCAAAGAACAAAGTAAATCCCAACATATTTTAGTGATTTGGGATATTTGGTTTGAAGGAACTCCTTTGTTCTTTGCTTCTATAAGGAAGACATTGGGAAAAGGCTATTCAAGGAAGCAAATATAATAAATGAGCTTATATGGTGTACTAATACAGATAATATAATGTGTGAACAGAATTGATGAGATTACGATAATCGTGGCTAACTTTCCTTGAATAACACTCTACATTAATCAATGTAGCCATTCGATCAAGATATTCTTTTTGGTAGGGTATGGACGAAGAAATTGGTTTTCCATCAAATCTAATATTTCGTACTTTTCTAGAAAAAAAAGATACTAAAATTTACATATTAAATTCGAATAGTTCTTGAATCTGAAATGATCATGTGATTACAGATCTTTTTAGAAATTAGCAATTGAAGTATTGAAATAAAATATAACATGTGTTCATATGAAATTGGTGGAATCGATGTGAACAAAAAGATATGATATAATTCAAACTCTTTGCGAAAAGCTGTCCATTGTGTACACGCTAAGTATTATTCTATAAACATAAAAGCATAGGTTATGTGAAGCCTAACATTTAGATAGGATTATCGTAAATACATTGCTACGTTTGGCATGCCTATGTGCTATGTCATTACCAGATAATAAAACTGTTGTACGGCCAAGATTAAAAATGATAATTGTTATAATTAAATTCGCTAATGAAAATGAAAGTACGTAGATAAACTCGTTAAAGCGTAAGAATAAGAGATAAAGCGAATTGAGATTTGAGACTAACATTCTTTGTAAGTTTTTTTTTCATTAATGAGGAAATGCATAAAAGATACGTATGATCTAACTTGAACAATTTTATCATCAACCTCAAAGGCCAAAGCACATCCACAATCAATCAAGTAGTACAGCATATATGATCCAAAACAAGATGTCAATCTTCTTTAGTTTTTTTTCCCTTTTTATCTATTCATTCTAGTCTTGCATTTTGAAATGGACATAAATACAATTGTTCGTTCCACATGCATCGTGTCCATTTTTTTTGGGTATGAATGTTACATCGTGTCCATTTTTGTGTGTTTTAATGTGTTTGCATACATACATGTTCAAGCTACAATCAAGTTAAATCAATCGTTATTTAAAAGCAAAAATAAATAAAAAACGGCATGCTATGCCTATAACCTACAACAATTGCAATCGATCTCTTAGTCATCATTGACAATAAATTTATGTCGATGACTATTTTAATGGTGGTCCAAAAATGTATCGCCGTCCATGTCCAAAAATGTTCAAACCGACCATGTCTGAATTCCTTTTCACGGACAAGTTCTTAGTGATTTAGAAGAAAAGAAAAAAAAAAACATGTTCATGCCTGGAATCAATCCCTATAGGGCATTCTAGCATAGAGCCATGCTAGGTCTAAACTAACTGGAACAGCCACAGGGCCTTCCTAGACCGGATCAAGGCTGAACCAGGGTAACCTTTTACAGGATTCGATCCTAGCCATTACGATGAACCAAGGAATGATTGAACAAAATCAACAGTACTTTAAGGTTTAATTGTTTTTGTTAACGTTGAAAAAAGTGTATGATAGATAATTGTTAGGTTCGGAGCTTTTTTAGTAACCAAATGTTGTGAATTTCAAGGGCAGAAAATCATGAAGAAGAGATGGGCTTCAAGGCCTGCAAAATCTTATCATCACACAACAAGAACCCACCATATCAGCATTACTCCCACATAGATATGTATCGTTCATTTGTAGATATTAATGAATTTGAATGCACTTTTATCTAAATGTGGTTCTTTTTGTTTGCAGTATTGCATTGTAGATTAGTTTGGAATGCAAATTGACTTCATTTGCGGCTACATCAATTTCACGTTTGAAATTTAAACTGCATAAAGTATTAAATGGCACAATCACTTTAATATCGTCTATATGTCCATCCATTTTTATCTAAAGTGATGGCTAAGTAAATTACTAAAAATGTTGAAGCATAAGAAATTAACAAAACAGAATGAGAAATGTTGTGTCATTAATGAGTCCCGTAACATAATTGTCTTACCTGTGCTTAGACCACTTACGTTTTATCATATTCTCTTTGAGGTATAAGATCCACCATTCTACCTAGTAATCTCATTCCATTTAATCAATATACACACAATTAGTACCAATCAGTCAATCACAACAACTAATCAACCACAAACCAATTTCAGCAGCAAAATAAATGAAAATTTCATACCAGAGTACGAATTGAGAAAACCGGTTACTAGATCTTCCTGTTCTTCTATCTCTATCCTTGAAAACAATCACAAAACTTGCAGCCTGATTGATGCTTTGATAAAATATATTCAACAAACCAAAATGATAAAACTATTGAAAAAAAAATAATTAAAGCTTTTTGGACTAAAAGATTGACATCGGATCACACAAGCTCCATGTTTCCTTATTGGATCCCATAAAAATTGTCTCTTTCCTTTCATTCTTCATCTAATGATGATGATGACGAAGATGATGATGATGTCCGAATATCCATTTCCATCCTTTGAAGCTCCTCCGATTCTTACTCACTTCTCTATCTTTCGCCGTTAGCCGGCAAGACCCTCCTCCTCCGTGTTCCAAAACGCCGTCGTTTACCACCACCTCTCCTCCTCCTCCAGAGGAATCGAATTTGAGATCGATAAAGCCAGGCTCTTCTCCTCCGGTAAAGTAACTCTCTTTCACAGACAACACCCTTCTCGTGAAATTCATCGCCGCCGAATCACTTTTCCGGTGCTGCTGCTCCTCGTTGAAATTGCTCTTCCTCGTCGCTGCTTCGTAATTGCTCCTCCGCGGGTGATTATTCTCCGCCGCCGTCGCCGGATTTACCTTCCGATTATACTCTGTTTCGCTGAAATTACTCCTCCGAGGATACTCTGTTTCACTGAAATTACTCTTCCTCGCCTCGAAACCGCTCCTCCGCGGCGGCTCCGATTCGCTGAAATTGCTTTTCCGATTCTCGGTCGTCTCGCTGAAATTACTCTTCCTCCCTTCGAAATTACTCTTCCGATGCTCCGTCGTCTCGCTGAAGTTACTCTTCCTTCCTTCGAAGTTGCTTTTCCGATGCTCCGCCGTGTCGAAAACCCCTAATCCTCCGTTGACGCTCGAGCTTCTCGCGGCGGAGAAAGAGCTCCTCGCGCCGGAATAAGACGACCCGTCTTCTTCCGACCCGATAAAGTACCCGTTTCCTCCTCGGAAACTACAGAGCGATCTCGATCTGGAAACCCCCATTTTCTTGCCGTCGTTGTAATCCAAAACCCACGAATCATTGTTCTTCTCATCGATTCCGAAATCTCGTTCCTTTTTCAGATTAATCTTCCTGAAAAATCTCCCGATTTTCGAGAATCGATGATTCTTACTCTTCATCTCAACGCAGCTGCTATTGCTCCTCTTGAACACCACCACTTCCTCTGTTTTCCGACTCTTCTCCGTCGTCATCGCCGTCGTTGATTTCCTCTGTTTCGTCGTCTCTTCGTCGATGAGAGAAGAGATGCGGAAGACGTTTCCGGCGTCTACGGCGGCGTTTGAGGTACGATTAGGAGAGATATCGGAGCATGAGCAGGAGGAGAGCCGCTGCTCTCCGCATTCGGAGCAGACGAGGCTAAGTAAACGGTCGTTGAGGCAGTACGGACATATCCCGACGGCGGAGACCGATGGATGTTTCCGGCAAGAGAATTCCGACGGAACGTTGCTGTAGTGAGAAACGTCGTCGTTTCTTCGCTCCATTGCTGTTCTCTTTCCTCTGTCTCTCATTTGGGGCAAACAAAATCAGAAAACAGAGCACTGAGGAAAGAAGAAAAAGTTAAGTTTCCAAATTTGGGATTTTTTTGTTTTGTTTGGTGTTGAAGATCCAGAGAAGTGAAGATGACGATGATCGGATCTTAAATTAGAGTTTCTTTAAAACTTTTTCTTTTTTTCTCGGATTTTGATGGAAGAAGAGAGGATTTGAAAGAGTGAGAAAGTGCAGTGACGCTTAGCTATAGGCTTCGAGAGGGTTTGCTTTAGCTTTACGTTTTCTTTTCCTTTTAATTTTCTTCCCCTTTTCAATTGCCCCACACCAATTTTATTCAGATTTATTTCAATTTAGAAAATGACTGGTTTTATTATTGTTTTATATGTCAATTGTTTCCATGATTATTGACATCATATCCTCAAATTTTGGCAAACTTTATGGGAATTGCTCTCTACTGAAACAAGCATTTGATTGTGAGAATCGAGAAAATAGTTATTATTAGCATTGGGATTATGAATTATACAATTAGGGAAACTGAATTGAGGAGATCGTTAGAAACGAATAATGAATCGGTAAAAAAAAAAGTTAGGGAAACAAAAGGAAAAAGAGAAAGGGAATGATCAAGAAAGCAACTTAGGGTTGTTTTTTCTTTTTGTTTTTTGAATTTGATAAGGCCGAGGAAATTTTTAAAATATCAAAGCCGAGTTTAGAAATTTTGGAATAGAAAATTAGGATTACATACTTTGAAGCTATAGTATCGTTTGTTAATGCGATTAGTGTTAATTGTTTTTGTTGTTGTAGTATATGTTTCTTTTACTGAATTCATTGTGGCAGCGAGATAAGTATCAGTGAAAATGAATTCACAGTATCAATCTCATGAATATGACATAACAAAAGCCACAAAACTAATTAAATACAACCATTTTTTGTTTTGGTTTTATGATTTAGACAAGATGACATTTTCCATAAATAAGTAGGTTCTAGTCATTTTGTATGGCTGATGATTCTAGACGAACACGCACGTCAATGTTTTAAATCGTCACGTCGATGTTTTAAATCGTTCCAAACATTTATACCCGAAACAAAAACATTATTGCACAAAAGAAAGTAGCAATAAAAGAGAACAAAAAATAAAGAGATCGAAGATAAATACAAGAGGATATTAACAAAAACATTGATTGCAAGAGGGATATATGTGGAGATGAATGAACTCGTGCGTCTGCCGTTTGTTACTTATGTATTAATTCTCTTGTCAATTTGTTTAATTAAGTCTCTTCCTTTTATCCATAAACTCATACATATGTGTACTAATATTCATGCAACTTGATATACATGCAAAGGGGAGTTCTGATTTAATGATCATTGTTTGGAATGTTTACACAACTCGATATAATTATAAACACAAATACAAACGAGTTTCAGAAAATGCAAACAGTAAAAATAGAAATTCGGTGTCCCGCGTCCCTCTGGCCTCTGTGTAACAAAACATTTAGATTCCAGTCAGCTGATCAAAATTAGGTTAACATATAAACAAAAATAGATGTCATATAACCAAAAATATAAGCTTTATCAAGAGTTTTGAGTAATAATGAGTGATCGACAGGGAAGGACATGTTTCTTAGAATCAAGTATACATAGCATAGACTGTTTAATGATTAAAATTGTGCATGCTTTGTCCTTTTCAATTTTACATCTAATTGTCTTCATTATCTAACATATTTTGCCAACATTTTTTAAAATTTTGTATGTTATGATCCAACGTGCAATGTGATTACGAGAATATATAATTCTTGGTTGTATTTTCCAGCTGACATTTTGTTGTTGTTGTAAATATTTAAACGCTATGGTCAAATCGAACTCATTCCTTGCCTCCTTGCCCCTTGGGTGGACGATGTAAAATACTAGAATCATAGAAAGTTAATCAAATTAAAGTATAAAACAAGTTTGACTTTCGTAAAAGGAAATTAATTACCAATCATCTATCGAAAGCATAACATATAACCCGAGGCATGGTATGGCCCAAGAAGGCAAGAACATCATTTTATTTTTGAAATTTTGGTACATACATCTCAAACATGTGTCGTATGTTTATTCTGAAACTCAAGAAACGTAATAAAATGAAAACCCTTTAACAAAAAAAAAAAGAAACGTAATAATATTTAAATAGAAACGTGAAATTTTCGAGAATGTTGTGTCTCTCTATTCAGTTATGGGTGATGGACTCTGGACTCGTAGCCTTAAGTGTTTAACGTGACGTGGTGGACTATTCAAAATATTTACTCCATTGTCTATAGATGTTTAGAGTATATATTTTTAATACAAACTCTAGTAAATAACAAGCCATTTGTATAATACTAGTTTCAAACAGAACTTAAACTATAACTAAAATAATTACAAATTTTGCCAAGTTAAGATAAAAGTATATATATATATATAGCATTTTGAAATTAAAGGAAAAAAATTGAAGATAAATGGGTGGGTAAAAAGTGAGATAATGCAAAAGCCGGCACGCCCTAGAACAGCATGCTTGAACAATAGACATCATTTGAGACATGTCAATGTTCTAAGGTATGTTTTGTCTCTTCTAAAATTATTCTTCATTTTTATCAAAAAATAATAATTTTAAAATGACTTTTGCTGCGTATCTCTGTGTTCATATATAAAATGTGATCATAATCATTGTGTTGTATTGACCCGTTGTTCATTAATTATATTGTTTGTGTTTCATGATTGGATTATTCATTCCTACAAGATCTTGCTCTTCTCATTTTCTTATATTTTTAAATTTTAATGATCTTCTGTATTACCACGTCTGACCAGTTTTGATAGTTCTAAACCGGCTGCAAAACTATCTGTACTGTACGTATGATAGAATAATTTTTTGTTATATTTACATTTTAATTCTAAACTGATCTTTTGTTGTTTTAAAAGAAAAGTATTATTTTATTGTTCCGGAAAAGTTATTTTATTGCAACCCAACCATATGAGGCAAAAGATGAATATCTTTGGATGTAATAACATTAAGCCGCAGCTAACAAACAGAAAATAAAAGCAAATCACAAAATAAGATGGCATAAAAAATTTAATAAAGAAATTCATATATAATATAAAGCCAAAAATTCCGAATTTGTTTTCTTAGAAACGTGCTACAAAGAAAACTTCTACATGAATTACCTATTTCGACCAAACAATAATAAAAACATAAAATGGATATACATCCAAAAACATTCGATCAATCGTTTTCAATAACAAAACATTCATTTTTGTGTTGGGATTTGCATTGTCCTCCTCCCTGAAACAAAAATACATGTTAGAACATATATTAACGAACACACAAGTTCTTGAGATTCAAAAGAAGAAAGAGCATACCTTAATATCTTTTTCTCAATCACATTGTTTTTTCTTCAAGCTTCTTTACGAGTAATCCTGATGAAAATAAGCAGATTAATTTGTCAAATTTAAGTAAACTAAACCCATAAAATGGAGAGCAAAAATAAGAAGAAGATATTAGTCAAACCTGAAGCAGTAGATTCCAAGTGCAGTTGTGATCTCATGAATGACTGAAGTAGCAAAATGCATATATAGTGCCATTGTGAATATACAATAACCAAGAAGAACCCAAATCTCATCCACAAGAGGAACCCTACAAAGAGATTAACATCAAACACTATAAATATGATGTAAAAGAAGACACAGCAAAAAACCGAATAAAAAGATAGCGATAAACATACCCGTTATTGAGTCTAGCGGTTAAAGCATTTGCTAGTGCAAAGGGAAGGTAAAGCAGTGACTGCAAGAGAGAGATTAATGAGGACTATAAATGGATTTGCAAGAGAAGAACAAGAAAGTTTAACAGATCTTTACCATGCACATGTTTGTTTTTAATCCTTTTGGTTCATCACATAAGTGAGCTAGAATCATTCTTCCCTGTAATAAAAAATCCATGACAAATGCTTCAGCTTTCGCTTCATTAGTTAAACAATGAACACAAATTTCAAAAACCAAAATTCTTACCACAAGGAATCCAAATGCAAGACCAGTCCCCAACACAACTAAGTGAGGGTAGTTTCTTATGAGATCAATTGGAGACAAGTAATCCCTGATTAAGCCAAGAATACCAATGAGTTTCAATGAGTAATGCGAGTAACTTCAAAAAGGAGAGATAAGACAGTTGAAAAAGACATACCAAATCAAAACTCCTGCAAGTAGCACGACGAAGGGATATAGCTGAATACACAACACATATTGACGTTACACACACACACACACACACACAGCTTAATATGAGTATCCATTAAACCAGTTTAGTTTAGGAGACTATACCATAGCTAAAGCTAGAAGCATGCTTCCTTTTCTTGACTGTACAACTTTGTAAACATTAGACACGCTGCAGAATGAAGAACAACGCGTGTGAGCAGTGCAATGCATAGAAAAAAAATAGCAACTTCCCCAGCTCTGAAATTGGTAAGTTGTTGAAGACTCACTTCATTGCAACGGTTGGTATTACAGCAAACACAATCATCGTGAATAGCACTACTCTGGACATTTGAATCTCTGAAAAACCAGAGAAAAGTCTCAGTGGCGTAAGATAAACTTGTAAGGAGGAAACCAACAACCAAGGGTTCGTAGATTTTTATTACCGTTCAAAAACGGCACCCAACTGAGGAAGGGAACTGACTTCCCAAACTGCTGAGCCCACCATTCAGCACCTTGATATGATATGATAATAAATATCAAAGATTAAAGAAGAATTGGTCAGACGTATCATTAGTGAGATTGTTGAAGCTTACCAACAAGGGCTGTGAAGAAGTGGCCACAGTAGATAAGTGCAAGACCTTCTGTAGGACCATTGACTACCGGAAGAATAAGAGTGTTGGTAAAATAGCTAAAAGACAAGTGAGTAAGAAGAGAGAAAAGTATTAGAATTTAGCAACGATAAAACAGATTCAAAACTGATGTAGAAACACTTACTGTTCCCATGTTGCTCCAAAGAATGGGACTGCTGAAATAACCCAAAACCAGAAAGTATCTCTTCCACACATAGCAGTGCTTCCATATGCCATTGTTTCAAACTGTGTTTTAAGAATGAAAATATCAGCTCGGTTACACGGTTTTATCGATAAAAAACGACAAAAGAAAAAGGTTGTGCAGTGCCTACCGCACAAGCAAGTGCATCACAACCTATAGAAATGAAATTAGTTGTCAGCAACATAACCGAAATAGATGATAAGGAAAAGCTGAACATTGAGAGAAACAAAAGACTACCATGATCAAAAAGCTCTCCTAATGGGCTAGAGGAGTTTGTTCTTCTTGCTTGCTTCCCATCAACCGCATCAAATGTCTAAAAATCAACCATAAGTGATCCAAATGTGTCGGCACAAAGAAGTATACGTGACCCTTAACAAGCAGATGAAACTGGATCCTTAAGAGAAAAAGGAGCAGACCTGATACAAAAACAGAAGTAGGCCATGTGCAAAGTGAACCCATCTAGGAGGAGCAGAATCCAATTGTGGTGAGTATACCTGAAACAATTTGAGAAAAACAGAAAGATATCACCAAAAAAAGCAACAAGAATCTCCAAGAGAATAGAGAATCAACCAACAACTCACATAGCCTAACAGGGCAGATGTGACAAGAAACATGAACCCCATAAGTGTTATCTGTAAAACAAACCATAAGCATTATCGCTTCAAAGAAACAATACTACATTCGAGCTAAAATGTGAAATTAGATATACACATACCATGTTGGGGCTGGATATGCATCCCAAAGGGAACACATGAAAAAGAAAACGAAAAACGTTAGTCCAATTTTTCATTCATTCAACCACAAAGAAACTCCATCCCATACCACATAAATCCACCAAGAGACTACAAGATCACTACATAACTAAAATCAACATTGGAGAATTTAAGTAAATGCTACTTACGGCATCCATAGAGGGAAGATTTTGACAAAACGAGTCCAAAAAGGTTGGAGAACATATTTGGCAAGATAAGAATGATCCACACCACTGTATTTGTATCTATGGAGAGCAGCTACACCATGTGCTCCTATGTAACCCATTTCTAAATTCGATTCCTTTCTATTCTAAATCCAAATTGGGTCTGAAAGAACTCAACCTGTCAAAAATATCAAAACAACAAACAAACCATGGAAATGTCATTAAAGGTTGGATCTTTTGTGTACTTTCCAAATGCCCTAAAGCAAATAACACGAAATGCACATGACCCATCTGAAAAAGGAGAAAGCTTGACAAATGAAATTGCTTCAAATCCAACAAGCATATAAACGAGCTCGGAGAAGAAATTAGGATCCTTTACGAAACTAATGTTGCAGGATCTTTCAAAGATTGAAGATTCCAGGAAATGAGGAGCAAATTCGATCAAAGATTCCGGAGAGAAAAGAGGTTAGAGTACTTACGACGCTTCGGTGAAGGCGAAATGTATCAGAGCCCGAAGACGACGTCGAGAAGACAAAAGCAGAGTCGGAAAAATCAGAGGATCGGAGATATATAGAAAGAGAGAGAGAGAGAGAGAGAGCTAATGCTTATGAGTCTCTCTGTCTTCTTCTGCGCCCTAAAAGAGGCGAAGCGGGACGAGAGTGGAAAGGAGAGCTTTGCGTATCTGTAACGATCTTTTGTTTAATACAATATTTTTCATAACCAGTCCCTTGTTTTTTCAAAAAATATCTTATAAATATATATGGTCGACCCATAAATTTCAATTTTTATACAAATGTAATATCATTAAATTAAAATAGTTTTGACAAATTTTGTAATTGATTAGTTACGCTCTGATTTTGTTTGACCATTCGAGTAAATGTTCAAATTTTTCGGGAATGTTATTTTCGGTAATGGTTAATTTGTTCGGTAATGATATTTTGTCCATTCCCATAAATTAGTAATTCAATTTTCTGAGAATAGTATTTTGAATTTTTGATCCATTCGAGTAAATGTCCTACGCGAAGGAGATTCAAAGAAACCAATAACCATAAACGAAAATGCGTGCAAAATTAAATAAAATGTACCAACATTGATGTAATTTTTTTTTGGTCAAACACAAACATTGATGTAATTAAGATGTTGATTATTTACAAAGAACTAAAAATTGCCTATTCAATTCACCAAATAGAGACAGGCTGTTTTGTAGTTTTCTACATTTTTTTAAAAAAAGTTTAAAGAATCGTATTCTCCTTTCTTCTATTCATTTCAGTGTTGGGCCCCAAAACTTCCCCTCAACGAATATGGCATCTGCATTTTAATTTTGTAGACAAAATCAAAGTTGCTTTCTTTTGTGATGTCCACAAATTGTTACCTTTTTAAAGCATTGTATACGTTTACTACTGATCACGACCCATCCATGACTTATATATAAATTTATGAATAGTATGCATTTGCAAGTATGGGAAGTTCGTATGTATGCGTGAAATTATTGTGATTTGAATTATTTATTCGAAATCGGGATGTTTGTTTGTGATAAGCTTTTAAAATATCGATGAAACCAAGAAGTTTCGCCATCATTAATTTGGCTTCTTGTAGAATACTAATTTAGTAGTAGTATCTTGCATCGAGAATAATATAATACATTACTACATTTGTTCTTGAAGTAGTAGTTTAGTTACCGTATATTTGTTTAAGCAAGTTGAACAAAATGATCACGTGTCTTAAGTCTTGCATAATTCCTTTTCCAAGTTTAAGAGATCTAGCGAGTGGTAGTGTATGTATCCATCTAATTTTTTGTAGTGTTTATCAACGAATTCAATTTATTCAAAAGAACATGCAGCCCAAAATTAGATGGATAGGCCCATTGTAATACCATCTGCATCCTTTCAGTCCAAGCTGTCTTTCTTCTTTAGTCTGTTTGGAGCCATCCCAACAGAATTGCCTCAAACCGATGATTCTTCACAACAAAACAATGTGCACACGGCTCTCTCATACTAAATCGTCAAATCTTGTACAGAAGAAGGAGAAGAAGCAAATGAAAAACTTGAGGCACGAAAATAATAAGCTAGAGAAACACACAAATCAATACTTTTAAATGAACAACGAAAACATTGATAAAATTTTGCTTAGGGTAACATTATATTTACATAATTTCTAAACAATATGAAGGTCATTGTTTAATATCAAAGCCCTCAAGGGAGCTGTCTTCACATAACATGGATATGAAATAAACTTTGGTGTTGGGAGTAGTTTGTGAGGATAATTTTTTCTTCTTCCCACTAATGCCTCAAATAATATCACTTATCATATGTAATTTAACATTTTATTATTTTTAAATGAAAATATTAAGTAGTTCTCTTTACGAAGAACAACTGTTCTTTGCCTCGAGCTATTAGGGCTTCTAATTCGGCTCTGGGGAGAGGCTCTCCTGCTTCTACAAAGCTTTTCCAGTACCATATTAGAGTCACAAGAGGAAGTGGCAGTTCTTCTGGTTCGCAGTCATCAGGCACCACTAAGAGAACATTGAAACCTAAACCTAAAAATAGACCACGAAGAAAAGAGACGAACTCCGTATCTTCCTGGATGCTTTTCGCGACCACCATCACATTTGATGCGTTAAAACGGGGGTCGGGAGCTTCCGTAGTCCACCAAGCAATGTCTACGAACATCTTATTAAGTCTCCAATATTTGTCACTTCTCTGTACGAAGGTGAATCGATCCTTGGCGGTTTCTTCAGGCGAGAACGGATTCTTCTCACCGGTAAACCGTGATTGACACGGCACCTTTGTTACCCAATTTCCTAAGAGTAGATTCGACAATCTCACGGATCCTGCGACCATCGGGGACTGGGAAATCATCCACGTCCCAGAACACGCTTGTTTTACCGGTGTAATCTCTGGGCATGGTGAGAAGAGTGAACAACAATTAAGGCTCAGATCTTGTTGGTGAAGGGGGTGGATGCCGAATGCCGATGAGGTTGAGGAAGATTGATTCGGACATGCACAGGAGACAAGTAGGTGATGGTAGTTTAGTAACTTAACTTAGGTCGGTGAGCAAACCAGGCCTATTTGATTCGGCTCCGATTTGTTTTGGGCTCTATGCTAAAAACCAAACCGATATAACTTCCATATTTATTCTCACAAGGTCTTATACCAAACAAAGAAGATACTGAAAATGATTATACAAGTATTTTTTTTTTTTTTTTTTTTTTTGGTTTTAACTTATACAAGTACTTATTTGTTAACTCGTATTATATATACTCTCTCTTCCTTAATGTTTAAAGATTTTTCATATACATTAAGAAGTATTTAATTTGTTTATTATTAATGATTTTTCTTTTTGCACCAACTACTTTTTTTAATAATTATAGTCAATAGTAATTAAAGTATTTAACTATTTTTAATTAGTTTTTCTTAAAATTTGTAAAAATTAAAGTAGCATTCATTGATAAAAAAATAACCTTAGAAATCTCAAACATCAAATAATAAGGAACTTAGGGAGTATATAATTTGATCAGTCTATTGTGAATTTGAAGTTGTTTTAAACTGGGTTTAAAAGTCGCACTAGTATAGTAAAAGTTAGAGGTTTGAATTGAGACAATTAAAGAAAAATGATAATTTTAACAGTGATATGAGTACGGCCCCAAAAAATACTTGATGCATGAACCAGTTTCATTTTTTTTTCTAACCTGAAAGATCTTGAGCTTGGAGGTTCGGTTCTTTAGCAGAAATTTGTCAAGACTGTTGATTGTGGCTCACCGAAATGGACTCTTTGGTTCGGTTGGAACGAGGACGAAGTTGCTAAAGAACGACAGTGATCTATTTTTTGTTTTCTTGATTTATGGTATTTAAGGATCTTTTTTTTTGTTAAAATATTTAAGGATCTTTTGTGTTTTGTTTTCGAATAAGAGATAACTGTAGATCACTGAAGGACATGTTATGTTATGTTCTGATGAGAGCAGTTCTTGTTTGTGTTTTTGAAGCTTGAAATTGCTACGTTCTTTGGTTTTTGTGTAATAACGAGAATCTCTGGAGCTAACATTCCGCACCAGAAAGATTTTATGTTCTATGCTTTGTTGTCTTTGTGGCTTGGACGTTGTGTCCTCTATTATAAAAAAAAAAATGTCAATCGCTAGCTAAATTTTTTCATACTCTTTGTGAAAATGGTACTAGACAATGTAGTCCTTGATGTGTAGACACAAACTCTAAGAAAATGACTTCAATCATACTAAAGTAATGTCGTTTTGGTTCTAGCGAGACAACTTTTAACAGTGATATGAGTACGACCCCAAAAAATACTTGATGCATGAACCAGTTTCATTTTTTTTAACCTGAAAGATCTTTAGGGGGGCCATTTTTTAATGTCCATTAAAATAAAAGTATTTTGGTTTGGTCTGTTTGTTTTTCTCTAATTTTGTAATCGGATGGAAACAAAATTTCTGTAATAAACTTATCCAAAACCTCCAAGCTTTCTTCGACCTTAATTATAATCTTAGAATTCTAAATTAATAAGTACGCATTATTATTGTTTTTTTTTTTGGTAATTGGAAGGAGATAATCTCCTTCTTGTATTATTAAAACAATTTAACCAAGTCTTACAAAACGGACTCGTATAGAGCCATTTGCATCCTCCGTAACCAACTCTAAAATATCAGAGGGCGAAGAAGAAGAAGAGGAGTGGAAACCTAATGGCAAAGAGAAAGCATGGTTAGCTAGACTATCTACCACGCGATTCACTTCTCTGTAGACATGAATAACACGGACTAACCAATCTCTTCTAAGAAAGATATAGCACAAACGCACTAGAAAAGACAGAATATGCATATCATTGATCCCTGACTGAAAGAAACCCACAACAACATCGGAATCCACTTCCACAACCAAACGCTGTACTTGCTGTTCCCACGCCATGTAGAGTCCATTGTAAACGCCCAACAGTTCTGCTAATGGAGCTGAACAGACTCCAATGTTGAGTATGCATTATTATTGTTATACGAAACAGGATACATAACCATTGTTAGTTTATATATAAAAAAACATTAAACATATTTTTAACTCAAGTTGAGTCATGAGTGAGTGGTGTCAAAATATACCATGTTGTAGTAAGTTTAGTAACAATAATAGGACAATCAAACAAGGACTATTCATAGTTTAAAGTTTCTAAACCATCATATAGGCACTATGAAAAGAAAATCAAGAATAATAAAGATTAACGTGGACGTGAGTTGTCCTAATTGCTTTCGTGCATCCAACTTTTTCGAGAGGAGTTTTTTTCCATTGTTGTCTTTGTTATTCTTCTAAAATCTTTTTTAAAAATTTGAATTTATCTGCCATGTCTTCAAAATACATAACTCTCACGCTAGATTCCTTGTTACCATTTTGATCCTTAAAAATTATCCAGATTATGTCCGAAATCACCATTAATTTTTGTTAGATTTCACCAATATTAGTTTTTTTCAGCGATTGCACTATTGTCTTTTTGATTAAATATTGTCAAGTACAAAATGTAGGGTGATAGAAATGAATAAAAAGTGAAGAAACAATATATGATTGAAGAGACAGATGTGGGGTTTTACTTTTTACATCACTCTCAATAACGTACGAAAAATCAATCGTCTATTTTGTAAGGCGATTAAATTTTATTTTGTTCCAGTTATATGGTTAACATCCAGACATATCCAAAAACTAAATTACAATTGACCAACACCTCAACGTCTTTTACAATGTCATGTATCAAATCTTGAGACATATATTATGATCCGTATATTGTCAAAAATAACACATTGGTTATAACTTATAAGCTTAAAATATTAAATTGAAAAACAAAAAGGAATATTAAAATGCAAGGGGTATGAGTGTATGACCGTATGAGTCTAATTTGTGACTCCAAAGAACAATCATTTCCCACTCATGTTTGTGAGGGTATATAACCCTAATTTTTTTTTTTTTTTTTTTTTTTAGTTTGTGGGAAATATGCCGATTATCCCACTTACGTTATTGCCTTCTCATACGGAATACTTTTTTCATTTCAAATTAATTGTTACTAGGTTTGAAAGCCCCACGCAAGCACGGGGTTGTTTGCGATAGTTTTTCTGTTTAATTTTATTTATATTCGTTGATTTGAATTATGATGGTTTTGTGTTAACTTTCATGTTTTTGTTATGTTTTGAGTTAACTCAACCACTAACACTAAAAAATATGAATAATTTTTTAAATTTATTAGGATATTAACACCCCGCTTTATCTCGAGTTTTCTATTTCTAAAATTTTATCATGTTATAAATATTATGTTTGTTTACTTTTTTTTACTTCTATTAGACTGTAAACATGTATATGTATTTGATTGAAGGTTAAAATTTATAAATATGTATATGCATTTGACCATTTGACTGAAGGTTAAAATTTGTAAACATATTCTTGTTTTTCACTATAATTAAATTTACATATAAAACTCCATTTCTATTTGTTTAGAAAAACAAACTCTAACTCTAATTTTTCATTAGCTTTCTATTATCTTAATTAATTTATATTCAACTTTTTAACTTGTAAACACATTATAACATTTTTAAATAGGATAATCCTTTGAATAAAAAGGTAAATATATACTATTTGAAGTTAAATATTTCTTTACTCCATCTCTATTTTATATTCCAACTTTTTGATAACTTTTAACATCAAATTATCACATACTTTCTATTAATTAATTTAATTTATTTGTATATTTTTATTAAATATGAATAAATGTAAAGAAATATGAATAGTCATATATTTAATAAATATTTTAAATACAATTTAATGTTTTTGTGCTGATGTGGACACTCTAGATGGAGAGAGCAACTCCCTAATTATATATAAGATTTTGGCAAAATATAGTTGCAAATATTTGGATATATCTGGACATGTTTTGCATTGCAGATACGTCCAAATATTTGTAGATACATTTTCTCAAAACAACAACTAATTTGAAACGAAAAAAATACTATTTTAACTCTTCGATTGATGAACAATAAAGACTAATCATGAGATGACATAACACATCCCGTGACATTATTTATACACTATTAACCAAGTGTATATGTTCGTTTTCGACCGTTTAATCCTCAAGAACCATATTAGTTTCGTTCGATCCAACACTTAGTTAATACGGAGGCCTAATATGCCTTTTCCATTCGAAGTCTTAAAATAAGTAATCAAAATTTTAAGATTTAGGGTTCTACATCATATTTAGGCGTCAATTTCTAGATAATAGAGTTTCGATTAATGGATGCAAAACTTTTTATAAAAATAAAATAAAAATCATGATAGGTAAAGCTGTCCACCATGGGTTTCTGATTTCTCATTGTTTATGAGATGTAGTCTAAGAAAATTGATGATGAGGATGAAGAATGGCCCCTTTTTGTTATGTTAAAACATGAGAGAATAGTATCACACGTGTATCCATGCACACGATAGAAATCATAACATATTTATCTTTTCAGTTTTTTTCATTTCTTTCTCAAAATTGTCCTCCCAAATAATATTTTTAAGAAAACAAAAAATGAAATCATAACATAGCATACTAATTCATCCTCAACCAGTTTTATTTTCTTTGTTTGGCTTTTAAGTCCTGTTTGTATCCTTTTTAGTATCCTTATTTTCTTTGTTGCTTCTCAACTTTGTAATCGTTACTCATTCGTATTGAATCCAAATGACAAAATAAAACTCTCAATCAGTTTTATATTTTTACCAATTGAAAAGATAATCAAATAACTTTGGCATTTTTTGTTTGTTTGAATACACTATGACTGGACTGATGATAATATCAAGACATGCGATAAATCATCCATCCTCAAGGTGGTACTACAACATAGGTATTTTTTTTTTTTTTTGTATTTATTCAGTGTTTAATCGTGTCAATAATATTTCACTATAGCACAGTTCGATTTTGGTAAATACATGTGTACTATTCTATATAATAATATGTAAATTTAGATCGTACATTTTCCAGTGTTATATGAAATCAGTGAAATACACTAAGAAGTTGAGGCAATGATGAAAGAGAGTAGAGGACAGCTTTCGCTTTATAAAGCAGTTTGCTTTTGTGGTTTCAAAAGTGACTTGTCTGTTGACTATCACTGTGTAGACAAAGATTTGATTTTAGTGTTTCTAATTAATTTAAGCTTTTTAGTTTTTTTCTCTCTTATTTATCTATTTAATTAGTCGTTTTCATGGATAAATATCACTTTGATTTCTTAATTTAGACATATTTTTACTAAATATTGTTGTTATTTGTTTTGGATCATTTTTGGTTAAGCCGGCAATCATGAATTCTTCTTTCGGCATTTCTAGTTTTGTAGTTTTCTCCTTTTTCACTTCATTTTGACAAAAATATGTTCTTTTTTCAATTTGACAAATACTCCCTCCGTTTTGAAATTAGTTGTCATTTTGGCAAAAAGTATCTGCAATTATTTGAAAATATCTGGATTTGTTTTGAGTTTAATACATCCAAATCATTGCAAATATATTTTGCCAGAATGACAACTAATTTGAAACAGAAAAAGTATATGTTTTTCATCTTGTAAATTTCATAATTCTTCTACCTTATAATATTTCTTATCCCTTATATTATGTTAAGGTATATACATTCTACTTGTCCATCGCTTAATTATCCATTGACATGACGGAAGAAACAAAAAATCCATCCATTAAAAGTCTTTGTTAAAATAAAATCCGAAAAACCATCCATTTGACAATAGCACATGTTATGCTATCTAAATAGACATAAATACAAGATTTTGATATTTCAATATGTATATTAGAAATTTAATGCGTCTAGGAAACTTTTAAGTGAATATAGAGAACACTTTAGAAAGAAAGAAAAGGAACAAATTCTTACTACTATTTTTTTCTCAAAATAATCAACGAATAGTTACGAAGATATAAATAAACTAAGTTGCATGGAAACGGAAATGAAAACGCGGAAACGAAACGTTTCGGAAACGGGAAACGTGTTTTTTGAAAAATTTAATAATGGAAACGTTTTGGAAACGTATGCATATAATATAATATGTATATATATATATTTAATTTTATAATAAAAATATTATAAATTTTACATAGCCAAAATCTAAGTTATGGAGAGCATATGGGATTTATTTTATGGTGATTCATATGTGTATATATAGTATATGTAGTAAAAAGTGGCTAGGAAAACACTTTGGTGCAGTGGTAGAATAGTGTCACTTTTTCCCTCGTGGTTTGAGTTCGAGTCATGGTAACTGATATTTTAGTTTGTTTTCATTTTTCTTAAAACGGAAGGGTATAATCGTAATTTCGAAATCATCTTCTTCCCTTTGCCTCTGGAACCCTATTTTGGGGTGGCGGCCACCTTCAATTTTTTTTACAAGATTCATCATTTATTTTGCGTTTTTAGTTGTTTCCTTCGTAAATTTGTGAATCTAACATATATTAATCTATTAGAAACTAAAATATTGAGTAAAACCCAAGTTCTTCAAATTTCTTCTAGTTTTGGTCGATGAAACTTACAAGCGGCTGCGTTTCCGAACAGAAAAACAGGTTTTCATTGCGTTTCTGTTTTGGAAACGGACGTTTCCACCACGTTACCAAATGGAAAATTTCAAGAAACGCGTTTCCTAGCGTTTCCGTCGCGTTTCCGTTTCCGAAACGTTTCGAAACGCGAAACGCTCAACGATTAGAGTTTCCGTGCAACGTAGTAAATAAATATGAAGGGGGATGAGTGGGAATAAAACAGATTTAAAGCGAGTCATTAAAGAAAGAAAAAGAAAGATTATCTATTCACATTGTCTCTCTTTGGCACAAGTGTCCCACTATATAATCCAAAGTTTAGTGTTATATATTTTATTTAATTACCAATGGGTTTCTGACCTTTAACCCCATAATCTTTCGAGATCCGAAACCAAAACATGTTAGCTAGTCTCTTTATCTTGAAGCACACTCCCTTTAGAAATTTTTGTTTAAATTTTTAATTAACTGCGTCTCATATAAATAATTTCACACTTGATTTGTTGAAACTGATTAACCTTCCCCCAAGATACATTTTATGCAGGACTAAATAATACATGTTGCTTACTATATGAATTCACCTTTTACCTGCTCTAATTGATTATCTTACGATTATTTTGTTTGTTCTATCCCAAAATTTCCTAACCATGAGTCTATTGCCGTCCTAGATCCGAGCCATGAGTCTCATATTAGAAAACGTTATATGTCATCATTTTCAATGTTAAGCTTTATTAAAAAAAAATCCATTTCAGTGTTAAATCTTTTACTTTTCAATGATCAATAAAAAAAATTTAAAGAAAAAACATAATCAAGAAAGTGGTCAGTGAGATTTTTTGTTTAACACTAACATGGTAATATTACGTAGAAAATGTTGTATCTATGTAATATTTTATAGTTGTACAGTCAAATACATTTGCATTTCTATATTTCATGAACATATTTTCTTGTTAACATTTACGTAAATTATTTTCCTTCTAAATAGATAAATTTTCTATTCTCATATTTCTAAGAAATTTTAGACATTGCATAACCTCTCGCCTAAATTTTGTTTTTGACTATACCTATCGCCTAATTAAGGGAAGCACCAAAAAAACTTTAGCAAAAAACTACGATTTTCTGACATGATTGAAAGAAACTATACAAATCAAAGAAGAAAACATTGCCCGATTTTCTCTCTGGCCTTTTCCGGTTTACAGTCTAAGGACCAGAAGATAATAATTGGCAGACAAATCTTTTTTTTTTCTCTCTCTCTCTCTCTTTCACTCTCAACACTCTCAGTCACAGACACTTCAAAATCAAAATCCTCTGTTTCTTGTTTTTTTCCCCAATAAGCTCCGGACAAAGAATTGTAAACGAATATTTCATATACAAAAGAAACAAAGCTCAAATTCTGCACCTAAGAAGTTAACACTCTGAAGTCTAAATGCAAGTTTTAATTCAGACAAAGATGGTGCAGAGTTATGCTTTATCCCTTTCAACATTCTTCTTGTTTATCTTTTTCCTCTCTTCTTCTTCTTCTTCTGCAGAGCTCACAGACAAAGGTGTTAACTTTGAAGGTAATATACAAATATTCATTAACAAAACCTTTCCTTTGACAATATCTTTCTTGTTTCTTTCAAAACATGATTTTTTTTGTGTGTTTCTTTTTTAGTTCTTGCTCTAATAGGAATCAAGAGCTCCCTAAAGGATCCTCATGGAGTTCTGATGAATTGGGATGACACAGCAGTTGATCCTTGTAGCTGGAACATGATCACTTGCTCTCCTGATGGTTTTGTCCTAAGCTTGTAAGCAAAGCACAAATATACATACAAGTATGCTTACACATAAGCATATGTTTACAGTTTTTACTTATGTGTGTATGTAGAGGAGCTCCAAGCCAGAGCTTGTCAGGAACTCTTGCATCCAGTATCGGCAATTTAACATATCTTCAGTCTGTGTAAGTGTTTCTAATTATTAAAAAAACATTATTTCTTCATCTTTTAGTTACTTAGTTGAGTTTTCTAACTTTGTTTTGATAAACAAAAATAGGCAATTGCAGAACAATTACATCACTGGACATATACCTCCTGAGATTGGTAAATTGATGAAACTCAAAACACTTGATCTCTCTACCAACAACTTCACTGGCCAAATTCCATTAACTCTTTCTCATTCCACAAATCTTCAGTACTTGTAAGATTATCCATTTTTCCAAATTTTTTTCTTTAAATAATTTTATAATAATTGTTATGATTGTTTATGTTGAAAATTGTGGAGCAGGAGGGTGAATAACAACAGCCTGACAGGAACAATTCCTGGCTCCTTGGCCAATATGACCCAACTCACTTTTTTGTACGTTCTCTTTCGTTCATTTTCTTAATTTTTTTTTCTTGTACATATATATATACATGTTTATCTATTTCGTAAATTATTTCTCAGGGATTTGTCGTACAATAACTTGAGTGGACCAGTTCCAAGATCACTTGCCAAAACATTTAAGTAAGTCTACTTCTGAAAGAATATTTGTCGTTTTACTCTGTTCTGAAATAAAAACAGGGTTTTTGTAAAATTCCATTGTCTTTTTCTTTGCTATATATCCACATTTATACGTTACCCTTAAGTATACTATACAAAACATAGTTTTTATTTAACAGTTTTAAACTTGTTTATGCAGTGTTATGGGAAATCCTCAGATTTGTCCAACTGGAACTGAGAAAGACTGCAATGGGACTCGGCCTGAGCCAATGTCAATTACTTTGAACAGTTCTCCAAGTAAGTAAAACCTAAAAATTCAATCTTGAAACAAAAAGATGGAAGCTTGAAATTTTAGAGATAGCTAAAGTTGTTGTTGTTATTTTAGATGAAGCATCGGACAGAGGAACAAAAAACCGCAAAATCGCAATAGCATTTGGTTTAAGCTTTACATGTGTTTGCTTGTTGATCATTGGCTTTGGTTTTCTTCTTTGGTGGAAAAGAAGACGTAACCAACAAGTATTCTTTGACATTATAAATGGTAAAACTAACAATGAAAATCAAATATATTTTTCCGGTTTTCTGCAAACAAGTGAATGCATAACCGGAACCAATGTGTTACTGTGTGAATTTGTTTTTTTTTACAGAGAAAAACAAGGAAGAAGTATGTCAAGGGAATCTAAGGAGGTTTAGTTTCAAAGAACTTCAATCCGCAACGGGTAACTTCAGCAGCAAGAATCTAGTAGGAAAAGGAGGGTTTGGGAATGTGTACAAAGGTTGTCTTCATGATGGAACCATCGTGGCGGTGAAGAGATTAAAGGATATAAACAATGGCGGTGGAGATGTTCAGTTTCAGACGGAGGTTGAGATGATAAGCCTCGCCGTCCACCGTAACCTCCTCCGTCTATACGGCTTCTGCACTACTTCCATGGAACGTCTTCTCGTTTATCCTTACATGTCCAATGGCAGTGTCGCTTCTCGTCTCAAAGGTATGAAACATCTCAAACCAGTTTCTTTAACCGGTTTACCAATCTTGTGTATGTGCGTTGCAGCTAAACCGGTGTTAGATTGGAGCACAAGAAAGCGAATAGCGTTAGGAGCTGGAAGAGGGTTACTGTATTTGCACGAGCAATGCGATCCAAAGATCATTCACCGTGACGTCAAAGCTGCAAACATACTTCTTGACGATTACTGCGAAGGTGTGGTCGGAGATTTCGGTTTGGCTAAGCTCTTGGATCACGAGGAGTCTCACGTGACAACCGCCGTGAGAGGCACGGTAGGTCACATCGCACCTGAGTATCTCTCGACAGGACAGTCATCGGAGAAGACAGATGTGTTCGGTTTCGGGATTCTTCTTCTTGAACTGATCACTGGATTAAGAGCTCTTGAGTTTGGAAAAGCAGCAAACCAGAAAGGAGCCATTCTTGATTGGGTAAGGAGTAAAGACTAGATTTAGGTCGTAATCACTCACTATTAGGCTATACTGTGTTATTAATATCTTGGGGTTTTACTTGTAGGTGAAGAAACTACAACAAGAGAAGAAGTTAGAACAGATAGTAGACAAGGACATGAAGAGCAACTACGATAGAATCGAAATAGAAGAAATGGTGCAAGTGGCTTTGCTTTGCACACAGTATCTTCCGATTCATCGTCCTAAGATGTCTGAAGTTGTGAGAATGCTCCAAGGCGATGGCCTTGTCCAGAAATGGGAAGCTTCTCAGAGAACAGAGACCAACAGAAGTCACAGTAAACCTAACGAGTTCTCTTCCTCTGAACGTTACTCGGATCTCACTGATGATTCCTCAGTGTTGGTTCAAGCCATGGAGTTGTCAGGTCCAAGATGACAAAAGAGAAATATATCAAATCTTGGTTTTCTCATAAACATATATATATAAACTTGGTGTTTGTTTGTATGCTACAATCTTGTATAGGTTTTGGTGTCATAAAGACTCCTATATATGAAATCTTGAAAACATATTTACTGTAAATTTGTGATATGTAACCAATTTCTTAAATAATCTAAGCATTTTCATATTTTTTTCTCCAAAGCGAAATGAAACAAAACTGTCTGCAATGAGAAGAACAACATTCAAGAAAAGCTAAAGCATTACATAGGAAACAAGAAGCAAGCTTTGACAGAAGCTGCTGCCTCTGAATTCATGTATAAAGATCAGAGTCAAGCCAAGCATCCTTCTTGACACCAGTTCTTGAAGAGTACTTGTCAAGATCTTTGTTCACACTCGCAACATCCAAACCTGGGATAATGTTCTTCAGCAGAGCTCCAACAAATCTTATCACAGAAGGACCAAACTCAGGCCACGAGATCACCAACGTTCCTCTGATGTTCTTGATCTGACACCGGCTCAAAAGCGAAGCACTCAAACCGTCAATGACACTCCCTGATGGGAAGTAATCAAGATTCACACGAGACGTCGTCGTTGCTTTCTTCTCAGCTGATGTCTCGAGTTTAGCAGCCAATGTTTCGTCTGGTGAGAGTCTACCTCTGAAGTTACGGCTCTGAATGGAGTCTAGGATCACAACCCGCTCGGGAACAATGTCTTGACCGATGAGCAACCTCGAGACTATGTTGGACCGTTCGGGAGATACAGGAAGCTGAACAGAGACGAGGAGGATGGAGTTTTTGTCATCGTAGGAGTATATGTTGCAGGATTTGTCTTCTAGAGACGGTTCGATGGTGTTTCCGGAGAAGGGGACTTCAGGGAGGATGAGAGTTCCGAGGAGAGTCTTTGAAGGTAGATTGTGGAGGACGTAGAGGGACGGTGAAGATACGGCTACGATGAGTAGTGATGGTCGGAGAGGGAGTTTCGGTTTCGGGTTTGAGAAGACGATGAAAGGAGATGGAAGGGGCTCTGGTGGTGGAACGAAGTTGTTGAGATCTTCTTGGAAGAATCTTGAAGGTGGAGGATTCTCTGTTAGCACATCTTCCATTTTTTCTTAGGTTTTGTTGAAGTCTCACAAACCTGTACCAAGCAAGACACATGAAAGATGTAAGGACTAGTCGCTGCAGAAACAAAATCAAACGGTGGGCCTAAAAGAACGTTGATTCATCTTATATATCCACAAGCAATACACCAAAAGATACAATCTTTTAAACATATATCCTACATTTCGAGGTTAAACTAACTTAAGAGCTCATAAAGAAGTCGACTTTCATCACAAATAGTTCTGTTTCTCCAGTTTCATTTTCTTTTAACCACATGTAAAGATATCCGTGGAAGCTCCAACAGCTGAGGCAAGTAGCAATAATCACGACCTAGTTTCTAGAAATTTGCTAGATCAGAGATAAACTCAAAACTCAAATCCAATAGTACAAACCAAAAACTTCCCTGAACTAGTTGTGGATGCTAACACAAAACTGTACTTTTTTACAAAGGGAATGTATACAGTTAGATTGATGAAAGAGTAGAAATTTGGAAACCCAATTACAGATCTTATGCAAAATCAACGATTATCAACAAACAATGTGGTAAACCCAAAATCTAACAAAAAATCCTCTTTTCTGAGCATCCAAATTAGATTGAGCATCCAAATTAGATTAGATTGATCAAGTTTCTCACATTATACTAGACTAGATAGAGATTAAAACTCAAATCCGTGAGAACATGATAGAAACCCAGGATTTTCCTAAACAATTTATCGAACTTCAACTGTAAACTTTTTACATTACCAAGCAATTATTGGGTCATTACAATCAAGGAGATTCAGAAAAGAAGAAAGAGGTTGCGGAAATCTGTAACCTAAATCTCCAGAAAATAAGCAGTCGAATAAGAGAAAAGACTCAAAAATTTTTAAGAGTGGACGCAAACTAGAGAGTATCAGATCGAGCCAGATGTATACGAATCGGATCCAGAAAAATTAGAGCTTGAGTGTAGAGAACGAAGTGTTAAAGGACACACCTTTTTGCAGTGGAATCGATGAAGAACGAAGAAAGAGAGTTTTTCTTTCTTTTTTCTTCTTGCGATGTCTGTCTTCTCCACCAAGACAGAGCGATTTGCTAAAACCTCAAACAAACCTCAAAGGCGTGACTTTCTCTATTGTGCGCTAATTGTTTTTATTTTGACTTTCTCTATTGTGCGCTAATGGTGTTTATTTTTATTTTTTCTTGTTACTGGGATGATTTCATGGGAAATTTGGGGTTAATACTTCACTAACTAAAAAAATAACAAGCTAAAATAAGATACGTATAAAATGTACTGTATTATACAGTTCTTGATGACACAATTCATTACCACAACTCTTATTTTCTCCATAGATGTTGAAGGGAGCCAAGATGACATTTCAATGTGTGTTATTGCAATGATCCCAAAAAACAACAAATGGAAGTTCACAAAATAAAACTAAAAAAGAACCAATAATAAAAATAAATAAGTGAAAAGCTGTGTGCCAAAACAAAATCTTGAAATTTGCTTAAACTAGAGAAATCAATAAAATCAAGAGACTGTTAAATTCTTTTTAGCTTAGATGTTGAAATCTGAAAGTCTCTGTTCTTGATCCTGTTTGGTTCTCAAAAACAGAGAAATCAATCTTCATGTTCATCTTCGCTTTCAGAATCTGCCAAAAAAAGACATCAACTTTAATCTCTAGTCTCTAAACAAATGACCCAAAATACAGATTTTTTCACTTCATACCTGATCTGACATCTTCGCTAAGCTTGCCTCGGTCCTGTACTTGTTTCACAAGCATCCGGTAGATCAAAACCCACCAGAAGATATGAAGAACAAGCAAGCAAAACAGAAGCGTATTGAACATGTAGTAATAGATCGGTCCTTCTATCGGATGCTTCTCCTTGTCCACTGTCATTATAATCTGATAGCTGCACAACAAACCACAAACCACAATCCATCAAAAACTCTGAAAGCATTTAAGATAAATGCTTTGGGGAATATCTAACAAACCTTGTGCTCCAAAGGATCCAAAAAGGATAGTAAATGAGACGAAGAACGACCCAAGACAACGCGAAAAGAACAAACGAAAAGCTCGCTATACCCTCAGCTCCACTATACTTTGACATCTTCCCAACTTCAAGAAACACATCGCTCGCATCATGGAGCGCAAGAATGATCGAACCAGCTCGCGAGAATCTATCAAACATTCCAAAAACCAAAGAAGATCATTACTAAAGATTCATCCTTTAAGATCATGTACTAAAGATTGATCCTTTATCCTCAACAAAGATAAATCCTTTCCGTCAATACCTGCAAATGTAGGAGAGGACGATGAGAATAAGAGTAGTGATGTGATGACCCATCGAGACTCCGAAATCAGACCGTCTTGTTTCCCAAAACACCAACGCGAAGATAGAGTAAGTGTAGAAACCAGCAGTGAACATGTATAAAAACTTCAACTTTATCCTGCAACATAAGAAGAAGAGAGAACACAAAGATTAGATCAGATACAATAAGAGATCATACATAACTAGCAAAAATCACATTTTCTTACTTCATCTGTTGATTAGGCCAAATCTGATCTCCAGGACCAATCCAGAAGTAGAGTGTATCTGTGAACCAAGGCTCATTATACGACACAGACAAAGCAAGTAGCTCAGCTGAGAGGTAGTAGATACACTTCCAAGCTGATTCTTTGAATTTTCGAACTTTTCTACTATTCTTCTTCCACTCTTTTGTCTTGTCACTCTGCCTTCCATTGATCAAAAGCTTTCCCACTTTCTACAACAACAACAAAAAACACCAATGTGTATAAAAAAAAAAATCAAAACTTTCTTCAGGAGATTCATCACAGAATCTGAATGATTTGATAAGCAAACAAACATTCATTCACGAGGTCAAGAGTAATGATTACTCCAAAGGGTCGTTACTAAAAGTAGAAATTTTTAGCATTAAAGTTACACAGAAGAGAGAGTGTATATAATATTACATATGTACGATTTGAAAGCGATGTGTTTTTTTGTTTTACGTATGTTAATGAAAACGGAAATTAAATGCGGACTCAGAGGAACAACGAATCAGTAGTTTTTTTTTTTACCTCGAAGACGAATCTATCGAGAAGAAACCGAATTGAAGGGAAGAACACTGCAAAGAGAGGCAAAAACCCAAAATCTTGGTATGTTGGGAACGATTCGTGTTCCCAGTTGATCGATTTCACCGATTCCAAGAGACCCATCTCGGAAATTTTCTCTCTTTCTCTTTAATCAGAAAACCCACATACGAATCTCGTTGGGGCTTTCTATGAGTTGACCAGAGGAAGCACAAAGCAGATGAGAGAGAAAGTCCAATCTAAATTGGATTTGGTAAATCGATCTCTCTCTCTCTCTCTGTGTCTCTCAAATTTGATTTGATCTATTTCGACTACAACAATGAGTATGAGTGGTTCTTTTTGATCGGAATCAAATTTACAAGAAGAAGTTATGTTTTAGTTTGGTCTGAGAAATCTAGATGTGAGGCCTGTAGGGTTAAACTAATACTTTTTTCATTGGGCTTCTGATTTCTCTCCCCTTCAATTATTTGCTCAGAAGGAAGGTAATTTGATGAGCTCAAATTTGAACCGTCCATATCTAAACCGATTATCTGTATTTATTTATCTCGAATATTTTGGAAAAACAATTATAGTATGTGATATATTTTGTCATTATCGTATCTGATTTGTTTCTTGTGTGATTGTCAGTCTGTCTTCTATATAAGGCTTTAAATTTAAGAATACAGACATATAATAGTATAGATGACAGAAAATATAAGACTTTTATTTGAGAAATACTTTTTTTTTAATAATATTTTTTTTAATATATATATTTTTTAAACCTATGAAACTGTTTACAAAAATTAAACATGGAAGAATTTATTAAACTTGTTTATTAAATTTTCTACAAAATATTGTAAGACTTTAAGGTTTTGTAATATGTTTTATACATATATTTTATAAACTCTTACAAATTCGATTTTTTTAAAAAAAAAATTAATAGAATTAGTATTTTTTGAAAATAGTCAGTCGTATTTTTTAATAAAATAAAAAGTTTGATTGATAGTACTGAAAATTATATAATTGTGAAAAACATATAAAAATATGTGAAACAGCGTGATTTATTAAAAAGTATGTAAAACTAAATGGCTTGGTAGCAAAAGAAATTATAATGTTGTCATGCAAATAATCTTAGTGGTAAATTGTTGATAACTGAGTAAAATTTTCTGCATGTTGTAAACATCCACCATCCAACAAAATCAATACACTTATTTACGATTTTGTCATTGGAGTTTGTTTGCAAATACTGTAAATCTTAACTTTTGGCTTTATTGAAAACTAAACCTCAAAAAAAAAAAAAAAAAAGATGGGATTTGACTATTTGACCATATAACTTGTGAACACAAAACAGCCAATAATTCTGCATAGTTCATTCCACAAATTATAGGAAAGCTCTCGTAAGGTTATGCATTATATAATACACTTTATAATTTTTCTTTAGCAGTCTCGAAAACGTCCTATGCTTTGGTATTGTTGGCATACTTGGCATGCACTATCACCAGAGCCTCCACCATTTTTTGTCTTCTTGTGTTCCCTTTATAAATTTGTACCCTGTTTCATTTTAATCTAAAATTCATCAACGATTTTATATATATATATATATACTACTAATTGAATAAAACTTGAATTAGATACGTCAAGACTTGATCATTTGTTTTCGCAACCAATATAAAAAGCATTTGAAAAAATCTAACCAATAAAAATGTCAATGAGGGTAGAAACATAGAATATTGTTCAACAATTCCATCTTTGCATAACAAAAATAGGTCTTTGGAATCATTTTAAGATTGACTGACGTTTTGAATAGAAGTATCATGGATCATGGTGTCTACTGTGTCTAGGTCCAAAATCGATTCGTAAATACTATTCTTGTATTTTTGTAATAATTCTCTGTTGATAATTCTACCAAATACTAAGCTGATTTCAAATTTGATATCGGATTAACATTGTTCGGTAATGGCATTAATGTAAGAGAATTAATCTGTGTAGCGTATATGGTTGATAACAGATACAGTTCATAAACAAAGACTATTAATGCCCTATGTGTAATGTGTTTAAGTAGGTCAAAGAGTTATTAGGAAAAGAATAGGATTAGAAGGTTTTTATCTCGATATTTATTTAGTGCTCAAGTTTACATCTTATATATAATTAGGGAGTTGCTCTCTCCATTTGAGAGTGTCCACATCAGCACAAAAACATTAAATTGTATTTAAAATATTTAATAAATATATGACTATTCATATTTCTTTACATTTATTCATATTTAATAAAAATATACAAATAAATTGATTAATTAATAGAAAGTATGTGATAATTTGATGTTCAAAGTTATCAAAAAGTTGGAATATAAAATAGAGATGGAGTAAAGAAATATTCAACTTCAAATAGTATATATTTACTTTATTATTCAAAGGGTTTATCCTACTTAAAAATGTTAGAATGTGTTTACAAGTTAAAAAGTTGAATATAAATTAATTAAGACAATAGAAAGCTAATGAAACATTAGAGTTAGAGTTTGTTTTTCTAAACAAATAGAAATAGAGTTTTATATGTAAATTTAATTGTAGTGAAAAACAAGAATATGTTTACAAATTTTAACCTTCAGTCAAATGCATATACATATTTATAAATTTTAACCTTCAATCAAATACATATACATGTTTACCGTCTAATAGAAGTAAACATAATACTTATAACATGATAAAATTTTAGAAATAGAAAACTCAAGATAAAGCAGAGTGTTAATATCCTAATAAATTAAAATAAAAACAAATTATTCATATTTTTTAGTGTTAGTGGTTTAGTTAACTCAAAACATAACAAAAACATGAAAGTTAACACAAAACCATCATATTTCAAATCCACGAGTATAAATAAAATTAAACAGAAAAACTATCGTAAACAACCCCGCGCTTGCGCGGGGCTTCAAACCTAGTTACAGTAATGCGCCAGGTGAATTTCAAGAAAACATTCTTGGTGGGCTTGTCACACTCAAAGTGATGCTTTAAATCGATAGAAAAAAAAAAATTAAGAAAGCAAAGTGGATAAAAGGCCTATAAGAAAATTATTCTTTTTGGTTTTAGCCTGTAAGAAAATTCTGAACAAAAAAGAAAGCTATAAGAAAATAAATCTAATGATTATGTATTTGATTAAATTTTTTAAAAAAAGAAGAAGAAGGACCCCCATTTTTAGCAATATTTTGTCCTTCTTGTTTCAATGTTTCCCATGAATGTTTCCTAGTGCAAGTGTATTTATGCGGCGAAAATAAACTCAAGATTTATTGAATACCAAATGAGGTCGTCATAAACTTTGGCTCGTAATAAATCTACATTATATTAGCATCGTTACTTATTACAATATGGATAAAACATTATTTTGTTAATTATTGTCTACAACTCACTCCCCCGAAGGACTATGACATAGTAACGATGCTAATATAAACCACTAGATTACAAGTCCGGGTCACTAAGTTTGTTTCTCATTATTCATTTATTTAGAAATCTCTTACGTGTTCAAAGTACTAATGTCAGATATAATCTCTTTATCAAAAAACATATATTACCCGTATGTGTACGGTTATGAATATTATATTCTTATGATTATTTATATTAAACTACGTTTATATATAAAAGAGATTATAGAACATGAATATGCTCAAAAAGTAAGTTAGATTATTTAACTTCGATATGTATACTATGATCGTTCAATATAACATAAGATCGTTACCAAAATTATATTCGACAAACAACCAAAAGGTCCAGAGCCTAAAATCCCTCGATCTTTTTTTTTTGTTGATAACACAGTTCCGAACTCTCTGCCCCCTCCGATTCAAATGGAAGAAATTCTAAATATCTTCGAACTCTTTCAGAAAACTGTTGTTGTTGTTGTTGTTCTTGTTAGATTTCAGTTCAAAAACAAGCTGTCGGAGATCAGAGGCTTCTTCTTTGAGTTTAGAGTTCTCCTTCAATACGCAATCTTGAGTTTCCGATACGCGGTTTAGCTTATCGATAAGACAGTTGTTCTCGTTACGTAGCCTCATTACCTGAGACCAGAGTTCGTCGAGATGTCTCTGTTTCCTCATCCTCGACCTCCTCGCAGATTCTCTGTTTGAAAGCATCCTCCTCTGTTTCCTCTCGTCGAGTACGATGATGCTCTGATGATGATGATCTTCGTCGGAAGCTGAGTTGTTGCTCATCATGAAATCCTGGCCGTTGGATGATGAGGAATAGTTGTTGTTGCTGTTGATGAGATCGTTTAGGTAGTTTAAGGAAGAGGAAGATGTTGGAGATGAGGGCATGTTTATTATGTTAAACTCGGCCGGGATTGTTGCTAAGTTTTCCGGCGATAGATATTGATAGTAACCGGTGATTTCCGCCGGGATCATGGTTTAAATTTGGATATGAAAACTTGAGAGAGTTTGTATAAAAATTTGTGGAAGAAGGGTTTGTTAGTTTGAAGTAATAGGAGGAAGTGGGAGAAGGGTTTTATAATGTTGGAGAGTTAGAAAAAGAATGAATCATGTAGAAGTGGGTCACACTCCTTTGGATTATAAGAGCATCTCATATAAAATTATACAAACTCTTTCAAATTTATAAAATATATTTTCCTTATTATATGAATTTTCCTATTATCTAGATATATAAATTAAACTCACCCTTTATATAATAATACAAGATTTCTTCAGTGTGACGGTCAACTTGACAAAACTATTGATTAAAATTAGCATTTGTTAAAATCCATTTTTAAAAGTTTGGAACAAGGACAAACAAATAAAGATAACTTCTTACTCATAGCAACAAGTTATTAGGTTGATATAATTAGTTTATGATAGGAAGTGGGGAGCAGAAATTGCGATAAGCTTTTCCAAAATATTATCTTCTTTTCCTAATTAAATACAAAAAATGTTGACAAAAATTAGCCCTGTGCATTTTGGGACGGGAATCTCGTTCCCACCCTAACCCGTTTAAAATTTTTCGAACTTTTCAAGAATAGAAATTTGCAATTTTTCGTTTGGGAACATTTCTTTCATTCAAACGGGTAAGGGAAGAGTTCGGAAAGGATACAGGGTTTCCCGATTTTTCCGTTTTAAAAAAAAATATTGAAAAATAGATATATTTTTCTTAAATATTATAATTTTTCCCATATTTTTCCGTATTTTTCCGTAATTTCTCAAAATATCTTCAATTTTCCCGATTTATTAAGACTTCGAGTATTAATTTTTTATTCCCAAATATTCTGTTCCCTTCTATCCCGTTATTTCCCATCTCGTTATAATAAGAGAATACTTCGGGTATCATATTTGGTTTCCCAAATATCTCATTCCCATCCCTTTTCCATCAATTTTCGTCCCAAAACCCGAAATGCACAAAACTAACAAGAATTACCAAAACAATAGTCAGCTTGAGCTATATTAAATTATATATATATATATATTATGCTTATAAATAGAGATGATTTAACATGATACTATTAAATATTTGAGTTTGCATATTCATTTATTATTATTTGGGTTTATGTTAGAAATTCATAATTTCATGGTTATATTTGGGTTGCAGATTATATTTTTATTTGACTGAATCTTATTTAAAAACATTGCTTATTATTGTTATAAAGTGTACACATCTATCTAATATATGAACATTAATATTAAAAAGTATTTTGTAGAAAGAAAGAAAAAGAATCGATTGCAACAAATCAATATGTTAAGTCTTTTTCCTAACTTTTCGAAACTATGATTTGTCTAATGATATCATCAAACAACCGTGAAAAGTTTTGTGTGTGTGCATGTAGTGAATTTATGTATCAACAACTGTCGTAATTTAACCTTCTCACCATCGCATCCTAAATTCCTAATTAGTTGGCTTAATCCATCATTCCAGACAGAAATTCTATAATTGCCTTTTTGAGACAAAATACTATAATTTGTGAATCTGGGATAAGTGGCATCCTATTTAGATGGCTAAATGGTCACCTAAATCCATCTACAACAATTTTTAACAGCACATTTTTTTATTTTATACCATTACCACTTAAAATGATTTACATAATAAAAAATATATTTATTTTAGGGATTTTGAAGTCAATACTCATTAAGGCCGGGCAAGAGATTTAATAGATTTAATTTTCTTGAAATTAATAGAATCTGTTACAGAAACTGAGAAAATTAACTTCAGTACAAAAATAAACGAATTAGAGGTGATATGACAATTCGACAATTTTTTCAAAAATAGTTTTAGATATTAATTTGACAGTAGGATGAATAACAAATCTATTGACTTGTTAAAAGAAATTTAGAAAGATGTATCTGACCATCAACAACACATAGATTCTTATCGAATGTGTGTGATACAACATATGTCAAATCTGTTATTCTTTTGTTAAAGATCTAACAAATATGAGCGAATCTAAGGGTAAAAGTATATTTATTTAGATGCTTTTGCATGAAGACAAATTGAATATTTTGTCATTTTTCACTTTCAAATACATACGTTCATAGACATATACACAACATATACGTATCTATTATGAAGCATATGAATCCGAGGTCAGTGACACCTGAAAGAGGATAGGGATTACTCCAACGTCTAAACAGATTTAACCTTCTTATGTTGATTTATTCTCCGAAGAAAATTGGAAATAGTGAGACCGAAACATGACATAATTCAGTCCTGAAATTTGTAATGAGTGGGATGAAACATTTTCTAGATAAACTGATGACAAAAACTAATAATTTTCAGTTGACACTTGATACCTTCAAACCCCTAGTTCGACCTGCCTACTCAAATCAATCAGTATATGGTTCGATTACCAAATCTTCTCGATATTAGCAACAAGAAAACAAAAAAAATCCCACAATTCAATATATACAACTAATAGAATATAGTTTTTAATTATCCACTAAAAGATAATCTGAAAAAGTTGGGAAATTATTTCTTTAAGATATGATGGGGACTGGGGAAATGCTATTTCAGACGATTTATTTTTATGTTGGAAGCTACTAAAAAACTTGGCGCACTTCCATTGACTTTAGAAGTATTTAAGGGAAATTAATTTTAAATTTCCGCATTAAGTGATTAGATTCCATCCATTCGGATCAATTATTGTAGGATCCGACATATCTATGAATGTAGACCATTTAATCGGCAACACATTAGATACGACAATTTGATATCTCTCGTAGATTTTATTCAAGTAATTTGTATTTTCGTATTTAAGCTCCAGTTTAAGACATACTATTATGTAAGAAAAATTAAATACTTCTTCTATCTCATATTATAAATAGTTGGGCAAAATGTATCTGAAAAAAAAGTGAATATATCTGGAAGGAATTCCATCCAAATACATCCATTTTTTTTCAGATACAATATGCCCAATTGCTTATAATATGAAACAGAGGGAATATATTTTTAAGAATTTTACTAATTAAAAATTAATAGAAGAAAACTGAGGGTGATCTCCTAAACTTATTATAAGTTTGTAACTCGTAAGTGCTAGAAAATCACATTCAGGAGTCCTCGTGGAGCATGCTATCTTTCATTGGATAATTCCTATAGCAAGAAGAAAGGAATTTCTAACTGCACTACAAATTAAAGTGCGATGCTTTACCTATTTTAAGCTTCAACTATATGATCATTTAAACAGCCTAAAGAAGAAAAGTGTGTATGGAACAATTTGATATTTTGATGCATTATGACCCAATATTGTCTCCACTTCCATCACTTTAAAACACTTCCACATGTATTTATTACATGTTTCAATTTTTTTCTGTCATGATCTAAATATTTGATTAAGAAAAGGATAAAGAAATAGGAATAATGATAATTCTTATATGATGACAATACGGTCACTTATAAACACTTATTTAATCAAACGAATTATTGTAGCTAGGTTTAAAAAAAAAATTAAAACCATTTTCAAATTAATAATGTTTTTGCTACTATAGTACATACTATTAAGCAATCAAATTAAACTAGGGATCCACTCACACTTTTCCCTTCCGACACTAATTAAGTAATTACTTGTTAAACCTATCTTCTAAGATTACGTAAGCCATTTTCTAACCCATATTATATTTGTTGTGGACACGTATCGACCTGACCCAATAAAAGTTAAAATAAAGTGGCATATTTTTATGAAGTTTGGTTAGCTGACATATTGTTAATTAGATCATTTAGATCATATAGTTGCAGGATTAAACTATAATTAATGATGCAAAATGTGGATAAGACCTTCATTGTTTTTTCTGCTATAGATATATGGAAAAGCAGAAGTAAGAGGTCATTATGTCTATATAATGAATACGGACGGATAGAGACCGACCGTATCGGTATTATTGCAGCTCGATCATGGTTACAAAACAGGAGAAAGCAACTCAAGATACTAGGGTTAGGGAACACTTTTCTTAAGGTATGACTGGTTAGTCTGGTACCGTAGTGGTTGCCAAGAGCGGATCCAGAAAATAATTTTTTATGGGCAGAACATATATAAATGTTAAATATAATTTTGTTTAGTTAATATATTATGATCATATCAAATATAATACAGATTATATAAAACTATTGCGTTAAACCACAAACTTAGGACATGTTATCACTGATTAATTAAGAACCGAGGAAAGGGTTAGCACTAGATTATCTTTACGATTAAGGAGAGCCACATGAACCCAATACCAAAATAAAGAAAATGTTAGATGTTGTATAATAAGCAAAGAAATATATCATTGGCACTTTTGGACCCAACTCCTGCGAAATGGCGTCAGCGAAATGTCAACTTCAATGTATAGGAATCTTCATTATCTGGTATTTGAGGCTCTAATTGATGCTAATCCATTTAAACATAAAGACTTACTGTTATAACTAATATTACTTTCTTAGAAAAAACTATACCACTTTATTTTTACTTCATACAATATTCAGTGAAAATTTTATAAGAGTATGTCCATCGGAGGTATCATATATATATCTCTTATAACTAAAGAAAAATGAAAAAGAAGGAGTCACAGCTGTGACTTCCGCCATTTGGGTTCAAGTCTCCCTGGCCACCCGGGCTGCTTTAAATGGTAAGAATACGCGGACTGCCGTGGGCCTCGTGGGATTAGTCTTTGGGCCTAGAAAGCCTTTAGGATCCCCACGGTTATCAAAAAAAATGAAAAAGAAGGAAAAAGAAGAAAAAGAACGTGAGACGTATGGTATTAAAGAGACTGTCTCAACAAATTTGAGAGACCAAAGAAGAGGTGGCAGTCTATGATTGGTTGGCTTTTTATTTATTTTAAGTTTAATTATTATTATTATTTTTTTTTTATTAATTTAAAATGTAACTGAAACTCAATTTAGAGTATTATAGCTGGATATGCTCTAAGTGGTTTCACTTAAAAAACAATTTGAA